TAGAAATCATCTCATTTAATACTCAAGAAAAACCCATATAGTAGGCATATTTCCCAAGTCTTACTTCTTATAGATAAGGGTTCCATATCTCGATTCACTTAAATAATTGCTTCAAGGGGCAAAGCAACTCACTGAGGTTGTGAAATTGTAAGGGTGGAGAGGAGCTTTGGGTCTGCACACCAACCTCTGGGCGTACTGCCTCCGGGAGTCCCTGGGTCTTTTGTCTCTGTTCTTCTCTGAACCATTACATCAGCAGTTCTCAAACAAGAGGAAGGATGTTGAGGATTGCTCCCTGGCCTTTCCAAGTCTCCACTTCCTTATTTGTAAAAATGAGAAAACATGGGTTAGACATTTGGGGTCAGTGAATTGTATTAAGCAAATGAAGTCGGATGGTTGCCAATAAAGCAGAGAGTAGATGTTAGATAGATGATCTTTTAATAATTTTCTACCTGGGCATTCTAGGAGCCCTTTTTTCTTGCTCCAATAATTCTCACTATCTTGTCATGCCTTTCATCCAGTGAAATCCCCACTTATCCCTTCACTCACCCATTTTCATGTGAAAATTCATCTCTTGGCTGCAGAGATAAACTGCGTAGGCATGCTATGTGTGTATATGTGTGCTGCAGCTGGAGGGGAGGCGAGCAATCTAAACGTGCAGATGGAGCTGCTGAAGATTAGAAGCACAAATATGAGGCTGGAGATGGACGCAACAATGGAGAGGTGCTCAGGGTGTGCTGAATAGGCACATCTGGCAGACAGCCATTATCACACAGAGCAGTTCCTTGTTGTTGGCTGGCGACAGGAGCCCAGTTCAGAACTAGTGAGACCTGAGGCTGGGGGTGGCTGGCAGAGATGGCTGGCAGCCCAGTGCTTGCTCTGCTCTGCTGACACCTCAAGAACTCCCTCCTCACCCCTGCTAGGTCTGAGTACTAGAGCAGCCAGAGATACCTGATCCTGCCTCAGGGTAGATCAGACCAAGGGGCATAATGCCAGGGAGAACTCATTCTTCATTTTGCTTTTTTGAAATTGAGATCAAATTAGAGATCTTGTCAAAAAGAAATAAGTCATCCAGCCAGCTTCTGATCACACGCACCAGGATCTTAGAGCCAGGAGCTGAAGAGAAGGTGATGATTGGCTGGCCATCCTGCTGGGCTCAGGTCCCCTCTTCCCAGGGCACTGGGGAGGGTGGGACATGCCCATTCTGGGGCTTGAGGAAAATAGAGTTAATGATGACCTGAGAGTGTATGATTGGAGTGACAGTCATTGGAATCCAGAGGTTTTTCTGGTTCTATCTGAGGACAAGTAGCAAGTTTTAAAGGAGCATCTGTTTGGAGAGGTGATATTGGGACACTGACTCTAGCACCTATCACTGCACACAGGGTCCTTCTGATGTAGGTGCAGCCCAGCCCCAGGTCCTGGCAAGCCCAAGTCATTTGGCTTCTGGAGTGGAAACTGTCACCCCATCCCTGAGCTCTGAATGTGTTCAGAACACCATCCCAACCAGGACTGGAGCTCTCATGCCTTGCTGCTATGGAAGTAATGTAAGAAGACAGGCTGTTGGCTGGCATCTGACTCTTGGGGGATCCTTATGTGTGACTGCCCAGGCACAGGACAGGGAGAAAAGCAAACAGAGTCAAATACTTGCTTGACTCCAGTGAAATGGAGCGATGAGGAGATTGAGCAGATCTGAGAGGGTAGAAAAGGGACAGATGACGAATTCATGGTCATTTCTGATCTAAAAGCAATGTTCATTGTTCCAGCCACCCATGTATATTATATCCAAACCAAAGAATGTCAGGCAGGGGCTGTTTCTTCCATTTTCAGAGGGAAACTGAGTCTCAGAGAATTAGATAGCCTTTCTGCAGGCCATATTTACTAAGTGTAGAAATGTTTTACATACAGCAAAAGTTAAAAACCATCCGGGGACAAATTCTGACTCTCCTATTTATAGGCTATGTAAAGAAATACTTTTTCTCTTAGTTTCTTTACTCGTAAAATAAAGGTAATACCTGCCTCATATGGTCCTCACAGGCTTATATAGGTAAGGATCTTTATGTAATTACAGTCTCCAGGCAGAGCAAATGCACAGTGCACAGGTAGAATCTATTCTCTCTCTCTCTCTCTCTCTCTCTCTCTCTCTCTCTCTCTCTCTCTCTCTCTCTCTCTCCCCCCTACGGGTCTTCAGTACAAGTCTATCACATTGGGAAAGGAAATCAATTCCAAATGTGCTTTTATTTCCTCCAATTTCTCTCTCTTCCTACTGGGCTTTGGGGAGAGCCCATATTTTCAAGATATCAGAAAAATCAAACCTGTTGTTAAAACAAGCCATACAGGGTCATCTTTTGGCCTCAGAATACTTCCATGTTGTACTATCCTCCACTCAAGTCTCCAAGCCAAGACACTCTTGCTTCAGCTGGTCCTTTAAAAAAAGAACCAAAAGCAGCTCCTCAACTACGGCCCCACCTCCTGCCTTCCTGTTATCTCATCGTTAACTTTAGTGCCCACTATAACTGCCATTGTCACATCATCTGTGCCCACTGCACAGGCAGACTCTTCCCACAATAAGCTGTGCCCTGAGGGTGGCATGGTTGCTATCACTGGCTCCTGGCACATAGGACATGCCATTTGTTTTTTGATGCTGCCTGGAATCATTGCGTGATAGTGTATGTTACAGGTAATGACATAGCAGCGAGGGAGGTGAACTGCATTGACAGAACATCACTTCATAAGGTATCTCATCCCACCAGTGAGAGGAAGGCATGCCTCAGGTGCGGCAGACCCTCCTCCAGAATGAAGAAGATTGCAGCTCTCAAGAGGCACTCTAAAGCACAAATAATAAAACTGACATTACCCACTCTTTGGGGATGAGATTACACCTATAATAGCCATTTCCAAGAGCAGCCAGAATGGGAGAAGGAGGGGCCTGAAATTCACATCAGAGACTGCTGGCTCTGTGCACAGGCAGCTGCTTCCATTTCCAAAGCTCCACCCAATTTCCCCTGAAAACAGCACAGTCTGCAGCCTCTAATTTTCCTCTCTGTGCTCTGTTTAAGCATCAAGCCATTATCCCCTATTTGAAATTTGTAGCCTCTTGAAGGAGGTTTGTTTGCATGAAGGGACTGAGTGGGCAGGTCCCAGCTTCTCTGCTGTGGCCTGTCACCTGCTTGCCACCCAGGGACAGTGTTGTGACACCATGGTACTCCAGTGAGCTCATGTCAGCTCCCCCTCCCCGCCCACCCCATGGTGCAGCAACCACAGAGTGAGGGCTCAGGGTTAGAGATTTTCTTCCAATCCCCTCAAAATGCCAACTATCCATTTTGGTATCAGGAACAAAGTTCTTAATTTAAGCCAATAGCTGCTTCACTCAGGAATATTACTCTTTTGGGTGTGTTGAATAAGGTCTCCCCGGAGAAGGAAGTATTCCTTTCTATTTCAGATAATATCCAGCTTTGATTCCTTAAAGGACATGACCTTATCTATTCCCTGATGCATCAAACTTAATCCAAATGATGTCATAGTTTACACCCTCAACCTGGTAATGGAGCCTGGTGATATTTGTGTAGCATTATAATTCTCCAGTGCCTTCACCTCTTGAGTCAGTCAGCTATCTGTTACTGTAACAAATACCAGATAATCAACTTAAAAAGTGAAAAGGTTTATTTTGATTCCTAGTTTTGAGGTTCCAGTCCATGACTTGGTGGACATATTGCTTTAGGCCTCTGGCAGTGAGGCAGCGTATTATGGTAGGAGAAGGTTGTGGAACAAATCACCTCATGGCTGGGAAGCAAAAGAAAGAAGAAGCCACAGAAGTCCCTCAGTCCCCTTTGAGGACATGCAACCACTGCCCTAAGACTTTCTACTAGATTCTACCTCTTTAAGCTTCCACCACCATCCAATATCGCCAAGCTGGTGACACGTGCACCTTTGGGAGGACATTCGAGATCCAAACTGTAACACCTCCAAAACCTCATTTATCCCCCACAGCCTAGAAGGTGTGTTGGTATGTATTATTCTAGTTTTTCTGGATACAGCAGACAAACTTAGAGAAGCCAAGCAACTTTCCTGGTCACACAGCTGGCAGGTAGTAGAGTATGCCATCCTTTGGAACTTTGGCCTGGGACTCTCCGCATTCACTGTACAAGGCAGGTCCTGTGTCCTATCCTAAAGTCATCAAGTACTTGTAGTAAGAAGCTGAAGGGTAGTCACTTATTGGTTTGTTCACTTAGGGAATTGGGGTCCACAGGTGACCCTACGTCAATGGAAAGGGAATGAGAGAAGAGTGCGAGACAGGTAAGGGAAAAAAGTACATCCATCAGGGCTCTGTGCCTAAATAGAAGCCTCTTCTCTGCCCTTTAAGCAGAGGACCATACAACACATGGAACGGGGCCACACCATCAGGTGGCTGGAGGAGGTGCTAGGTAGGACAGCCAGGAATAACTCCCAGAACCACACACAAAGCTTCCATGACAGGGAGCCACCCCCTACCACTCAACCCAGTGAATTCAAAAGCAAGTGCTACAGCTGTGACTGGGCTTTGGGAAGCTGCCACCATCCCAGCACAACTGCAACTATCTCAAAGTGCTCAGATCTCGATAGCATTTCAGCAAATGTCGTTGCCCCAAATCCCTAATGTTTCTATCATGCTGCCAGCAGAAAACAGCAAATGAGCAGGAAGTGGCAGGAGATTGGCAAATCTAGTTTCCATCTAGAGTGGTTGCTGCAAGGGCATCTGGGAAATAGGGCTTTTGGTTGGCCGGTTTCCAGCCTCTGCACACTAGGAAGGAATATGGAGATACAGGTGTGATGGATGCTGAGTGAGCTGAAGCAGTTTCCACTACAGTAGCCACCAGATGCCCACTTCCCTCCTACTAATGATAACCCAACAGAGGAATGGTCTGAAAATATGCACTCAGTTCTGGAGTGAATATCAAAAAAGACTTTATTAGCATAGCAACAGTCGGTAATATTAGGTGCAAGACTGCAAACAGGTACCACATCTCTCAAGAATCATTGATGTATTTCATCATAGAGTTGAGAATTTCTATCCCGTGAAGCTCTCTCAGCTGAGCTGCAAACCTGTCATAATCAGAAAACAAAATCCAGGTCATAAATGCCACATTTCAGAACCATCCCCTGCAGAAAGGAGTCAGCTGGGGGCATCAGCCCTATCACTCAGAGTGGAAAAGCCAAGTGGCAGTGTCATCAGGGGCCCTAAAGATCAAAGGGGGTAAGAGTCTCCGGAGTCCACAAAACAAGGAACACACTCACTCTAAGTGGCAGGGGTGACAGCTGGTCAGATGGCACTGTGCTCTTGGGAACTCCCCAGCAGGTGGCCACTTTGAGTGAGCTCATCCCCATTAATGTGCCTCGCTTTCTCTGGAAGAAAGGTTTTCTCTATTCCTCCCATTTGATCAATCAGCCAGAACTTGAAAGGAACTTTGATGTCATCCAGGCCAGTGTTCTCATTTTACACAGGAGGAATTAAGAGGTGCATAGCTGTAAGAGCCATCCTCGTCCTATCCCCAGGAGGATTCATGACTCAACCACAGGGGAACACCTTCAAGAAGCATGCACAATGGGGTGTTTAAGCACATAATAGGACTGGAGCGTGTCAGGAGTCTGAGCTAAGAGAGAAGCAATGCACAGAGGTAAAGCCAGGGTCTCTTGCGCCAGCTTGCTGGGTGGCCTCAGAAGTGCTGTTCTCCATCTCTGCTTCTCCAGCAGGAAAATGATACCCTTACTGGACATCCTCAATAAATAAATAAATAAATAAACAAACAAATATACTGTGGGTTTGAGTATTTCTGGAAAAGTAAAGAAAGACATAGGCGTGTACTATAATTTAGATATTAAGGATTCCCCAAAGCTCCTTATGCTAAAACCTTGGCTCCAGCCTGTGGTGCTATTAGGAGGTGGTGAAATCTTTAGGACATGAGGCCTACTTAGAGGAAGTTGGGTCATTGGGGGCTTGCCCTAAAAGGGGATATTGGGAACCATGGCTCTTTTTGTCTCTCTTTTTGCTTCTTGGCCACCATGAGCTGAACAGTCCTCCTCTGTTACATGCTCCTGTCATGAGATATTGTACTGCCACAGGCCCAACACAGCCACATGCCGATGGACTGAAACCTCTGATACTGTGAGTCCAAATAAGTTGATTTTCTCAGGTATTTTGTCACAGTGATGGAAAGCTACTAACACAGAGGGAGAAAAGGGGGAGAGGATGTGCGAAAGGAGGGAGGAGGAACAGGTGAAGAGAAGAAGGAAGGAGAAGAGAGAGGCAATGAGCACTCATGGGACCAAACCCAATCAAATGTCACCTCCCTCTCCAGTTGGAGGCTGAGAACTCCCAAGTTTCTCGGTTTCAGAGAAGCAGTCCCTGGGCCCATATGGGCCTGTACAGAAGGCACGAGGGTTCTCCATAGAATTCTGTGTAGCATGGAGTCCCTGCCAAAATGCAGAGCTTGCCTTGGCCTACTCCCTCTCAGATGTGACCTACACTCAGGTGGCCTGGCTTGGTGGTAGCTACAGCATACCTGGGCTCAGCTGTGCACAACTTCCCCAGAGCGATGCCTGCATTCAGCTGCACGGTTGTCTTCTGCGAGTCGCCGCCTGCCAGCTTCAACAAGACTTTCACCAGGTCCGTCTTCAGCAGGGAAGATGCAGCACTGGGCACCTCCATGCAGTTGCCAAGGCACAGGGCAGCATTGCCCACTAGAACCTCGTCCTCTGAGCTCAGCAGCTTCATCAAAATGTTGAAGTCTATGGGGAAGGAAGAGCACAGGTGAGGGTTCCCCTGGGTCCCCTGATATGAGGCTGGAAATAGACATGAGGGGCGACCTTCTCCAGAAACTGTGCTCACTCACTCATTCAGCAAATATCCTGAGTGCATTGACCCTCCTCAACATCTCCCTGTGTCCCTGATTTATCTCATTCAGGTGCCCTGAACAGCACCGGGCACAACACAGTTGCTGTAAGAATGAGTGTGCATGCCAGACAGGTCTGTCTTCTCGAATGCTCCTGTGCTGCACTTCCAGACCCTGCCATGGTAGGAGGCCCCACCTGGCAGCCTGAGTTGAGGAAGATGTGCTGGCAACCTGTATCTTTCCAGAAGGAAGTTTTCTGTCCCATGCTGGGCCCCACCCAGCCTTCTGTGTATCCAGAGGAGGTGTGAAGGAGAACATTAGCAGGCTGCCTGGGTGGGAAGCCCTCCTGTGAATAGCTATAGCTGATGGAAGTTGCTAGACTACAGTTAGGCTCAGACTCTGGTGCCCCTCTTGTTCACTGAGGGCTGTGTGAAAGAAGGAAGAGAGCCATCCTAGCTTAGTTAAGCAGATTGCTGTACAAATAATTTTCATTTAACTTGGGGGAAGGGAGGGAGATTCCCAGCTTCCACACATTGAGTTGTCTGTCAGCTGGGCCTCCTGCAGCCGAAGGCTAAAGAAACCCTTCTCCATCTGGAAGTGAGCGGACACCAAATTCTATAAACTACAGAAGTCCAAGGAGAGTTTTCATAGCATTGCTAAGTCTTTCTCATCAGCCACAGTTTCTTCGAAACTTTCCAGGATGGATTAACCTCTGGGACATGGGGTCCCCGAATGAAACTGTCACTTACTTTTATCCAGTCTCATGACTTCTTCCCGAGCCTCATGATAACCATTCGTGCAGACAGCCAGTGTCTTTATGGCGTAACGTGATGCAGTCTGGCCTCCTGTCTAGATTCCACAATAAAATCAGAAAGAGATCAATGCTTGTTCTTGTCCAGAAACCACAGCATACTGCCTGCAGAACCTTGCAGTGCCAGTGGCCTCTAGGACGTCTAAAAGAGGACCCCACTGAAAATGGCATGCGTTTCCTGGTGAGCAGCCCTGGAGTGTCACTTGCAACCCCTAAACCAGCCCACACCCGGGACAGGGCCATAGGCCTATCCTGTACACCTGACACTTCTGGAAGGTTTTGTACATGAGTTGCTCAGAGAACAGTGATGCTGTTGATGAGCAGATCTTCCAAAAAGGGGAGGAAGTGGACCTCCTGTGTCATTTCACCTTTGGAGAATGAGGGCTGATTGTCCTCATGGATAACATCACAAACCTTGACATTGTAAGAGGTGACAACTGTGGAGACATAACCCTTAAAAATGCATATGTGCCTGCACCATGTGTATGGTGAGCAATTGACAACCACTGGCTGGTTACAAAAGGTGTAAGGAGATTTATGGTCATTATCCAAGTGGCAGCCTAAAGTCAGATCCACCATTCTGCCCCCTCAAAGTTCCCCATGCCCCAGCCCTAATATGGATGAGTGGATCTCGCACACATCCCAGGTGAGATCCAGAGTTAGCAGCCTAATATTCACTTTGCCTTTTCAAGCGAATCCAGATTGGATTCACTGTACTCATATCATGGGGAAAGTTCCAATCCTTTGGTCACATGGTAACTTTGTAGCCTCTTGTAACTCATGAACGGAGTTACAGCTAACACATTCCCAATAACTGTATAAAAGCATCACAAATCCATGAACAAAATAAATGACCAGAGACTCCTTGCAGAAAGCAATTTAAACTGTCTTGTTCAAGGTCAGAGGATATATGTTTAAAAGTTGGGCTTGAAGGGAAAGCAATATTTTGTTTGTTGGTTTGTTTGTTTTAGTGCTGGGGATAGAACTCGGGCCTTGCAAGTGCTAGGCAATCGCTTTAATATTGAGTTACATCTCCAGCCTAGGGCAAGCCATTTTTATGGATTTATTTAAAGAGCAATTTACTTATTTACTCAACAATCTTTTGCTGGTGTTCAGAGCACTGTGCAGGTAGACAGGCAAAAGAGAATCCCTATTTTGGAAATTGAAAATCTGGCATGAATGACATAATGACACATTACCTGAACAAAACTCATCTGCACTCTGCTCCCTGAATAAAAAAGGAAAGTCCTGGAAATTTAAGAGATTGTAACCAGTAAAATGACTTTACCTTTAGGAATTTAATCATTTTTTTCACTATTCCTGCTCTCAGGGCCTCTTCCACGATTTTCAGAGAAGAAGAAAGGGTCCGGCTCAGAACACCAGCAGCTCTCTGAGTGAAGCAGAAAAAGGGTGATTAAATGTCCTTTTCAGAAATACGACCTTTAAACGTTAACAAGGAGTTTGGCGAGGCAAAAGTGATCATTAGTTTGGGAAGCAAAATTCATACTTTCAATTTAAAATAAGGTAATGGCCAAGCAATACATAGCATGCATGGTTCTTTTTAATAAAGCTGCTAGGTGGGCAATTCAAAGACTGAAAACAGTACCCCAGGTGCACAGAGGCATAGGTTGTTGCAACCTTATGCTGGGACTCAACTCAGAAAGGCCTAGGCAGGACCCTCGTTAGGAGACGGTCTGCTTCCTGAATCTATCCTCTGTGTCTTTTAGTTTGTTTGTCTTATGTTTCTGAATCTTTGTCTTTTTTGTTCTCTTTTCTAGGAGATTTCATTTGCTTTATTTCCTAGCTCTCATTCCTCCTCCTCCTCCTCGTTCTCCTTCTCTTCCTCCTTCTTCTTTAATAAACAAGCAGTTTCTGTTTTATGGTTATTACTATCTTGACTCTTTCTCAGGACATAAATGACAGTTACTATCTTTTCTTTTATATCATATACCTCTCTCTTTCTTTGGTGTCAACTTTTCTGCGTATCTTTTTTTCTGTTTATGCATGTGAGTTTTCTGAAATGTCTGGTAACCCTTAGTTATCCAATCACATTTAAGGAAAAAGCAATAGATTCATTTGAGCGTGCTGTGTTTACGGGAAGTTTGTTCACTGCCAGGTAGAGAGGTGGCACCCCCAAATATTAGACAGAAAGGTTCTTTTCTCTAATCTTTCAATTTGTTAAGAGAAAAAAAATGAAGGACTTAAGCCCACTGTAAAGACCCTAATACTTTTTGTTATGGTTCTGAATATCGTCTGCCTTTACGGTGCTTCCCCCAAAATGCTGGGAGTTGTGGTCCACACCTGTAATCTCAGGTACTTGGGAGGCAATGGTAAGAGGACTGTGGTCAGAGGCTAGCCTGGACAAAAGTGCCAACCCTATCTAAAACACAGACTGAGAAGCAAAAGGACTGGGGTGTGGCTCAAGTAGTATATTTGTCTAGCAAGCATGAGGTCCTGAGTTCAATTCTGAATACCACCAAAAACAGAAACAAAAAGCTCTGATTTTATGCCTGGGGATAGATGCCTGCCTGCCAAATACAGTCTTCCACCTTGTACTTAGGCCTTCTGTTGTCCCAAGGTGTGGTGAAACCTCCATCCTCTCCAGGGTAATGGAAGGCAAATCTGCTACCTCCAGCCTTGTCCCCTCCCTCCCCACTCTACAGAAGGGTTTCTTTAACCTGTTCATTTTCACTCTTGCAGTTGTTCCCCCACCTTCCAGGAATTTGTTAAAATTCCTTATCGGTGGGTAGGCTCTTGCCCACACACTTTGTCATGTGAGTTTCTACCTGGCCCCCTCCAATGCCTCTAATTGCATTTTATTGAGGTTTATAGAGGGAGCGTGGATAAACCCTTGTGTCATCATCAAATCCATCTTGTTTCCCTAACCTACTTCCCTTCCCTTCCTACAGATCCTAGAACTCTGCTACAGCTGACATCACAGAGGCCTGAGATGGTAGAGAGGGTGCCCTATCCAAGGGCTAGTGTCCTGTAGTGAACAAACTGGGAAGCACCCAGTTAGGGCACAGAGAATCCTAAGAAAATCCAGCTTAAGAACTTCCCTGAAGGAGTGCAGGCCCAGCTCTAGGTCTGAACCATACAAAAAGGCCCAGGTCCCAGGAACAGTGATACCACTTTGGGGGGCTCAAACTTCTTTTGAGGATGTGATGAAAATGACATTCCTGCCCCTCCCATGAAAATACACATACACTTAGAATATCCACAGAATACCACAGGTCTTTGGGGCATCTGAAGACCTACTACATATTCATGAACTCAGGCTAAACCCTCTGCAGGGAAGTTGGGAAAGTGCCAGGCCAAATAAAGTACATTGGATCTACTGAGAACTTTTTAAAAACCCTACAGCCAGTCATCATCTGCGATCCTTGAAGGGCTAGATTCCCAGACGCGCCCTGGATGTAACCTGATTGTCTCTCTAGGTTTTAGGTGCTGCTTTGATAGGTAGAAAAATGGGGAAATTAGTAATGTGAGTGAGGAACACACCCTAGGATGATGGCAAACAGCCTCTCGAATCTAGTGACATTCTTCTGATGCAATGTGCTAACCACAGGCCTTGCTCTGTTTTCTTAGCCAAATGTCAGAAGTACAGTTAAGAAAATCATTCTAGTGTGTTTCTCCAAAGGGGTCCAAACTATCATGCAAAAACAACTTTCAAGGTCACCGGCTCCAAAACATGGGCCTGGATTTCCTGAAGATTAAAAAAAAAAAAAAAAAGGATTCTAAATAAAATCCTTTGAGCTGCATAGGATCTTTCAATACAGAACAGGTCAGGGAGACTACTTTGTATCATCTGGTTAGAAGCCAAACCATATAGAAAAGGGATTCTGAACTTGAGTTCTTAGATTCTCAGGGGTCCAAAGATGGATACTGGGGGTGGGGAAGTCACCAAATCCCCAAAATTGTAAGCAAAATTTGGCATTTGTGTGCTTGTAGCATTATTCTGAAGAGTACCACGCTTCAGAGAGTCAGCAGGTTCTTACAGGTGATGACTGCATAAAGATTACGACTCATGGACACTAAAACAAAACAAGACCAAGGAAGCTGCTTCTGGATGTCCCAGAGAAACTTACTGTCAGGATCCCTCCATCCTGGCTTTTTAGTAGACACAGGCACCTTCTGCTCACCTCCTCAGCCCACACCTATAGCCACGGGGAGAGGGAGCAGGCAATTTGAATGCTCAGATAGTCAGAATTCTCTGTAGAACTTTTTCTAAGCAATCAAACAGAGCTGACCACTCCCTCCTGCTCACTACCACCACCTCTACCCAGATTTCTCTTCTTATACTGCTCTTATTCCTTCCCGTGTCTACCTCCCCTAACTCTGAGGAATAACAGGGGTCATTCGTTATTTGACTTTGTAAATGTAGCCCCTAGTACTAGATGTGCAGAGAGCTTTCTGAATGAACACATGACTGAGTGACCCTCAGTAGAGCAAAGTGACACTGTCCTTCCAGCTCTCCCCATTTCCACCACTGGTGTCTGAGTCCATCTGCTTCTGTTCTCTTTGTAAATAAGTGCACAATTCAATACAATAGCATGTGGTCAGTCTGTGCTGGGACTCCTGGGAGGGTGACAAGAATGCTGTACCTCTGAGACAAAGGGGACCTGAAGACACAAGTTCATGATGAGTCCCAGGAGTATGTACGTGACCTCTCTGAACATGTCCTCCTCGCACCTGGCCTTGGAACAAAAAAAGGTGGCCAATGAGTTTGCTGCCATGAAGCTTTTCACGGTCATCTCTTCCTTTAGACAAGGGTATCAGAGATACCCACACTGCCTAAATTGTCAATGTCATGGACTTAAGTGATGGTAGGAGTTCAGAGACCAGTTCCATGAGTTAGTGTTAGTCTAGGAGATATGAAAGGCATCTCAGGTGCCTCAACCATGGCACTCTGGCTTGGCCTGGCCCCTGGTTTACACTGAAGAGTGGTCTGTTGAAGTGAATAATCAAGCCAGTTCCACCAGAAAATCCTCTGAATCTCTCTGGGATGGGGAGACTCAATCTGGAATGCTCAGCAACACATAAAATCTATGGCTACACAAGGGACTGGGGCTCCAGACCTCTGAAAAACAGAATTTTAAGATAATTAAGAAGCCAGTGCCCTCAAAGAGGATAAAAGACCAACTTTAAACAGAAAACCTAAAATACCAGGAGGTCTGAGCAGGCATCTACAAATTCTTCACAGGCCCACATGTGTCTTCTGGCAGCAGGCTCAGCACTGAGGTTTCCCATTATGGCAATGCACTGGCAGAGAGCCGAGGTGTTGACTACTTTGGGCTCCCTCTTCTACAAGTGAATTGAGAGAAAGTGAAAGTTCAGAGTGGAGGCGAATGATGCCATAGGAATCTCTAAGAGTGTCCCTCATTTACCAGACAGTGTAATGTCACCCAGAAACATCAACGGGGTCCCCCTGGCAACAGAAGAAGAGGCACTCAGGGGGAGACCCAAATGGGCCTGGGTTCTTCCACCAATCAGCCAGGAGGACCAGGCAAGTCCCTTCCCTTCTCAAGAGCCTTTGTTTCCATAGCTGTGAGATGCTGGTGTGCAGGCATGCTTTCTGTGGCTCTGGCATTCTGTGGCTAACCAGACACAGCATGCTGTCCAAGGAGAACCCTGACTATCCTCTATCTCATCAGCTCAGATTGCTATACCTGTCCTCCTACTGGGGATGGCTTCTATTCTGGGACAGAGTTGCAGGCTGTCCTGATGACAAGAATTCATGTCAGGAGAGGACTGATGGACTTGACACTCTCCCGCCTTCACCAACACATAGTCACCGTGCAGCGGTAAATAGCCCTGTCCATATGCCACCTCCACCTGTCCCGCCTGCAGTTGTTCTAATAACTGAGAATTATGTCAATTCCAGCTGTGAATAATGATTAATCAACCTGAGAGACAACAGGGGTTCTGGGGTGTAAATTGTGTTTAAACAGCTTGGCCCAAGTTTCTGAGTGCCTGTCATAGAGGGAAGTGGGGTTCACTTACCAGAACACCTGTGAGTGCAGGGAGAGCATCTGGAAGGTTGGCCTTGAACCAGACTTGGAATCTGTTGAGAAAACATCAGCTGGGAACATTTCTAAATGGTACAAACTATAACGTACACACAGCATCTCGGGTAATGTAGCAGACAGTTATAAAGCAGGCCTGTGAGATCTAGAGCATGTGTGGAAAATTCCTTCTAAGCCAAAAAAAGCCAAAAAAAGGTCACTGGATATGTAAGGTGGCTGTAAGTCTGCAAGTTGTCTTTGATGTTAAACAAGATTTCAGATGGCAGCTCTCTTAAGCAGAAGTTGCTGGAATTCCCAGGCCTTTGCCAAGCTGACTTTGCACTCCACCCCCTTGCTTTGAGCTGTGGGTTGTGTGCACTGCACAGGTGGGAAACGCAGTGCAAACATGTTTATTTGTCACAGGCACTGGGAAGGCCCAGATGCATATACATCTCCACATGCTAGTGCAGTATTCCACACTTCCAGCTTGTGCCAGCTGGTTGGCCTGTAAGTTTGTAAGGAAATAAAAAACAATAAGATGTGATTTTAAAATCACAAGAATTATAAAAACGAAGACCTTTACTATCTTCCCTAGCAGCTAAACAAAACAAAAGCGCCAAAACAGAGCAAGAGGAGATGGTTACTCACTATCCCACTATCAACTCAAGGGAGTTACATTTTCTTGTTCATTCTCTTGTTTGTTCATTCATATTCATTCAACTCAAACTTGCCAAGTAGTTACTATGCAGTAGGCATTGATCAAGAGGAGAGAAAGCTTCCTGACACAAAGTTGGCATGTTTACTGTAAGAGGCACTGTTTTAAGTAGTCATCCTCAGTGTCTGCAAAGGATTGGTCCAGGACCACTGAAGATACCCAAATCTATAGATGCTCAAGTCCTAAGGGACTTGTATAAAATGGAATAATATTTGCATATAGCTTATGCACTTTAAATCATGTCTAATCTTTAACTTGTGTAAGTATGTAATACAATGTAAGTTCTATACATATTGCTATCATACTGTATTGTTTAGGGGATGACAAGAAAAATAGTCTGTATATGTTTAGTACAGATGATTCTTAGCAATATTTTTTATTTGTTTTTGATTAAATACACAATTGCAGTAGCCACACATACAAAGGGCTGACTTCATGTTTCTGCTTCTATACTCATTGAGGTCTGGTCACCCTCTGCCCAGAGGGACTAGGATGGGAGTGGACAAGCAGAGCCCTCTGGAAGGCATCACCCCTTCTAATCAGTGAGTCCTGTACATCACAGGTGGAGATTGGCTTAGCCTCTTTATATACTGCCAATTTAAAAAAGATCACACAGTTCAACACAGGTTGAAGAACCATCAATTTCTGGAAATAAAAAAAAAAATTACCTTTCTTCCAGAGCCAAGTCTGTGAGCAGACCCACAGCAGTGCTGGCCTTCTTATCTGAGAAATCAAGAAATGACAGCAGGGCTTCCAACAATCTGCAAAAACCCATAAAAGCCTGAGTGGGCTGTCTTCCAAACCCTGGCATCCCTAACAAGGTGACTTTATAAGTTGTCCAGGAAGAAGCAGCATCCATGGGAGAAAAGCTGGAAGGATGACTGAGTCATGTCCTCAGGAAGCCCTCCCTGTTCCTTGCCCACACCAGACAGACCTTTACTATCTTCCCTGGAGATGAATTTCCAGGGGGCCAAATGTTAACCAAAGTTCAGTGATTCTCAGACACCAGCTCAGAAGGAGTTTCTGTGTCTGCTATGTGACTCTGGCTTGGTCAAATTTATTAAGCTAGATGACATTTAAGTGACTTGCTTACTAATCTGCTGATAACTAAAGTGGGAGGCCCCCTAATGAGGTGGGTGATGGCATGAAGGTTTAACAAGATCTTGACAGGCTGCTGAACATATCAGATGAAATTTAATAGGGTTAAACTCATAGCCTTCCACTAAGAGCTGGAGATTCTGTGTAAGTAACAGAATGGTGAGACCTGTTGTATAACTGGTAAGATTTAAGGAGGTTTTGCTTATTGCAAACGCAGTCTGGGCAAAAATTCAGTGCAATTGCCAAAAGAAGAGGCTAATTCAATTTTGAGCTGCCCAGATGGACTTAATGGTAGCAATACAATTAAGAGGGATGTGTCCATGTGACAAACCTGCGCTAAGCATCTACTGTGCGCTGAGTACTGGGCTCAATACTGAGTTCCCGGTCTACAGTGACATGTGTGTGAATAAGGGAGATATGCTACCTTAGGTGGTGTGCTAGAAACAGATCCATGCTAAGTGGGCCTCTGAATCTATCTGGGAGGGTATGGTCAGATGGCGACGAAGGCTTCAATAGCAAATGACATTTCACATGTATCGTGAGAACAGTGTTAGGTATTATTTCATGTATTCATTCAGTCAGTAACACTAAACAAGCACTGGCTGATGTCCAGGAAATTGTCTAGAGACAATGTATTGGCTCTACAGAGCCTGTGGGATAATGCCAGGCACATGGGGGTCAAGAGCAGAAGAACATGGGCAGAGTACCCTGAGGTGCTCTTAGACTGTGAGGTGTCTTTAAGGACTGTTAGCAGCTCCTTACAGTTAGTGCTTAGGGTGTGAGGGACAGAAGTACAGGGAGCAGAGAGCAAGAGAGCCAGACAGAGCCCAGATGTGGTGGGCCATCTATGGCCTGTTGGAAGGTTTGTGTTCTCCAAAGTAGGAAATTACCTGCTTGGAGGTGGTGATGGTGGCATGAGACACAGGTCCTGGGCTGCTCTCAGCCTCTGAGGGGAAAATGGCTCCAGGAGGCTGCACTTTAACCAATCCCCAGGTGACTCCTTGACACTATATCTCAGAAGTTGGAGAAATTGTCTTACAGGTAATAGAGTTGTTTCTGCATTTTAATTAGTGAAACAACAGATGCGCGTTTTAGAAAAACCCTTTTTCTGCTAGGGTCAATGCCAGATTGCAGCAGTTAGAAAGGGAGCCAGGGAATCCCACCAGGGGAAAATTGTGGTTGTCCAGACAATAAAGGTGAAGGGACTGAACTGTGGCAGTGTCAGAATAAGAGGTATTGTCAAAAAGAAGGCACTTAAAAAAATAAGAAGGAATGATGAGTGATGGAGGAGAACTGGAAAGAAATGGTCCTGGAGATGCTATGGCGGGGATCATGGGAGGTCCAGGTCACCTACAGGAAATCTGGCTTAGGTAACTGGGTGGATGAATGCCCTCTGTGAAGATGGGAAATGCAGGCAGAGGTCTGGTCTGAAGAACCACATTTGATTTATTAAGTTTATGATATTCATAGATGTTGAACAGAGATGACCAGTTGCCCTTGAGAGAAAGACTTAGATTCTCTGCCTATTAATTAAAGTCACAGACAAAAAGAGGGTGAAGGGTAGATCCTGGAGTCCCTGACTTGGAAGGGTAACAGCAGAAGGGAGCTGGCAAAGGATTCCAAGACGGAAATTCCAGAAGCCAGGAAGGATGATGTCCTGACAGCAAGCTGTGGAGTTTCAAATGGTACAGATGACCCAAAGCCACAGGGCAGTCAGGTGAAAGAAAGATAAAAAAAAGCCCATCGAATTTGACCTTTGGGAGTGTACCTCAGCTTGTTTGAGGGGAAGCTTAGGCACAATTCACCTGAGGAATGGTCAAAGGAATTGGGATGCTTGACCTGGGAAATCCTGGTGTCTTCTGGTATCTACAGCATTGGGAAGTGGGAGGACTGGAGGCACTCTGTAGGTCTTTGATAGTCTGGACCTGGCCTCAGTGTGGAACTCTAGGGGGCTGGTGGTTTGTGGTCAGTGCACAAGGACAGCATCTATCAGTTGGAACTGCTTCAGAAGTGGATGGGCTACCCAGAGAGGGAAACTCAGCATGCTCACTAGCTGGGAAGACCCCCACCTCCAGTCTGTTAACCGCTTAGTGCCTTCCCACATCAAATGGAGGCAAATACAGCAAGAACACTAGATCTCCCCAGAAGGGATCATGCATGGGCTGGGCTGGGATAGCACAGAGGGGAATCAATGCTGGGTGAGGCTGAGCTGGATGGTCTCTGAAAATCTGACTTCCTTGGGAGCATACTCCAGTGCCTCCTGCTGTCAAACATAATTTGTTTTAGAGTTAGTTTGGATTCCTCCTCCACCAACTTAAATCTGTTTTCTTGGTCTTGAAGATGAATGCTAATAAATCTGAATAACACAGAGGATAAGACAACAATTTTAAGATCATAGTTGTTTAGTCCTGGGAGACATAGACAAGTAGGCTACATCACATGACAAAACCCTCACCCTAACTGTATTCATTACCTAGAGAGGACAGTTATCCTCTTCCACCTCCTCTCATCTCCTCTTGCTCAGAGGCAGATTTTCTGCATTGTTGACAAGCAGCTGTCCCTTGTGGATAGACTACAGATCAGAAAATAATCTCATGTAAACACTGAAGGCACTGTCACCATAGTTTAGGACCCTGAACAATATACCCTGAAGAGAGAAAATGACTGCAAAAATATTGTATTCCCTCTGCCTTCCATTTTACCTGACTACTACAAAAGCTGGGATCATCTTCCCCACCAGGGGTGGCATGTGACACAATTCCATGCAAATGTAAACATTTCCTCTCCTTAATATAAAGGATGGATGCAGTTGGAACAGACCTGCCTTAAAGAGAGACGTGAGTCTTGGAGTTGCAGTAAGAGGAAGGTGTGACTATGAGGGAAAGGTTAAGAAGAGGACAGAGACCTTGACCTCGACTACGTTAAGCCACAGTTGCTATGTTTAGTCTTTTCTTGTCATGTGAGAAAAACAGCCAGGCTTTCTTTTGCTTAAGTTCTTTTTGGTCAAGTATTCTGAATGACACGGTAGAAAAATTTTTTTACTGACAGATACACCATCCCTTTTAAGCACCTTTAATGAAAATAAGACATTGGGGCCCATTGAGGCTATGTAATTTTCCTGGGTTGCATAAGCAGAAAGAGACATGCAGAGGATTTAGCCTTAGGATCATGTGAATCTAAAACCTTGTGCTTTCTATAAAGCGACACTGGCCCTTGGCTGGTTCCTGACAGCACGTATGCATCCCCAGCCTCTCACATGTGGGGAAGCACTGGGGTAGCAGTGTGATATATATGCTCTGTGAGGGTCACGAGACTGTGTGCCGCCCCGCCCTGCTTCAAATCACTTCATTTTAGAGAATTCATTATGTCTTCTTCCCATTTAATGGAAGGTGGATATCAGCAAGATTAATGGGCATAAAATTAATAAGCTGAGGTTTCTCTGGCTGTCTAAAGAGAGGACACAGGACTGCAGGAGGTGATCATAAATATCACTCTCCAAAACACTGCAAACATTCAAAGCAAAACTCAAGCAATTCAAGATAGCTTGGGGGAAAATTCTTATGTTAACTACAGCTACACTTACTCAGAGACAAAAAAAAACAAGCTTTATAAAAAAAAGGCACATGAAGAAGGTATTGAGGAAATGACTACAGTCATTTGAGAAATGAAATATGTTTTTGGAGACATTCACCCCACTAGCAATGCATCTGCCTCCTGGGCTTAGCTTTGGTTGGGTGCTGAGGCCTTTCGTGGAGCCACTGGCACTGCAGCTGGCAGAGACAGGGAGACTGGAAGGCCATAGCTGGGCTTAGTGACCATTCTATCCTCAGCACACAGTGGACCTCCTCTCCAGCTGGGACAGATGTGGGAGAGCTCAGCCTGGTCCAGAAAGGTCTGGTGGGACTGTGGATCATTTTCTTACTGGGAACAGAGAGTAGGAGCTGGGCTCTAAGGAATGGGTGCCTGGGGAACAGGTAGGTGAAGTTCTCTTGCTACTTCCTCCAGCTTCTCCTGCTTCATCTGTGAAATGGGGGAATAACACTTACCTTGCCTCCCTCATGGAACAAGGTGGGGGATAAATAGAGAAGACAGTGAAAAAACTCAGAAGGTTAATTTCTGTGTTTAGGTTATGTCTGTAACATTTTTAAAGAATGCACTGCTACTATTTCTGTTAGGTTGAACCACAGGAAGTGGCTGAGATCAAACTTTCTGATCTAAAAAAATGGCAGTTTGATATGTTCAAATTAACAATCTGAAGATAAACTGAAAATATATAGATTAAAAATAAAAAATGAATAAATAAAACAAGTAAAACAATGAAAAGAATAAACTGAAAAGGACTGGGCTGTGGTTTGGGTATTTTTTTAAGAAACTCTCCTTAGGAGAGAGGTACATTCTAGGTCTATGTGCTTCTGTACTGGAAAGATCTCCCTCAATAGCAATTGCTGTATTAAGTTATACTCTACCTTGTTTCAGAAAAGGTTTATGGCTATTCAAAAATAGTATTACTTCAAATAGGAATGACTGGGTGGAGCCAGGCCTAAGGCTAACAGAGCAGAAGCAAGTGACCCATTTCCAGGCTGGGTTCCGAATCTGGCTGTGGAAGGGTGCCCTGCCACCCTTTATAGTGAAAGTGAGGAGGACACTTGCCAGTAATACAAAAGTGAAACTAACCACAGTGCTGAGTTCAGACCAGAGTTTATGCTGGTCCTCATGACAGTGTTTCCTTAAGTTCTGTCTGCTGCTGATTCTTTATAAAGACTGATGGCAGACACACAGGAGGAGACAGGCCAATCTCAATTTGTCTATGAATGATGACCTGAGGTGCCACCAAGGAAGCCACTGGAAAGTCTTACCGGGTCAGATCAAGGTGGCTGATGACCATCTTCCGTCCATGTTCTGACTGGGTGAGCTGAAGCAGCAGGGCCAGGCTCTGTTGCTGGACAATCAAAACTTTGGAGGCCAAGAGGGTGGGCAGCAGCCTGGCTCTGTCTGGATGCATTATAAGCAGACATTGGTTTTCCTCTGCAAAATACAGGGGTTGTGTGCCTGTGCCATGATAGCATTTAAACCAGTTCTGCCATTCATGACCCTTATGGGAAACCAACTATCCATCCATTTGAGAGGTAGGATGATGACATGTGAGAGCACGACCCCAGAGCAAGGGTGCTGGGTTGGAATGAGCAGGAACAACCTTAGCCAATGAACTCCTGTGCCCCTTAGTTTCCTCACCAGTAAAAGTAGGGTGATGATCTCCTACTAGAGTTGTTAGGAGAATTCAGGGAGTCAGTACATGATTGTGCCAGATAGGAACTGACACACACTAATTGACTATTTCAATATTATTGTCAAAAGGCCCTGTGTGTGGTATCCAGAAATGGGAGCAAAAGGGAAAGAAACCAGCTTAATTGTGGAATATCTAGACCATCAATCTTCATATAATGGTCAGAATAATAATTTGTGTTGTTTCTAGAAAATCAGAACATCACACGAGAACATTATCTAATGAAGCATGACCTTTTTCTAAGACTATGAGCTCTTTCCAGGGTGGAAGCACTGAATTTATTCACTTTCACCTGCTTCTTGTTCTGACAAGATACCTGAATTCTTTTGCGAGCAGGTAGGACACAGGCATGGGTAAGAGACTACATGATAAAATAGAGCAGAGAAAACTGCATCTTGGAGGAATGGCATTATGGGTTAAATCTAAAATGTCCCCTGAAGGCTCATGGCTTTAAGGTTTAGTTACCAGCTGATGGGCTTTTGGGAAGTGCTGGACCCTGAGGGCTCTAACCTATCGATGGATTAAACCTTCGATGGATTTATAATTTGATGGCATTATTGGGAGGTAGTGGAAACTAGGAGATAGGGCCTAATTGGAGGAAGTAGGCCATAGGGACTGTGGCCTGGAAAGATGCCTTGTCCCCAGCCCCTTCTTGTACCTCTTGCTCTCCTTCCCATCTGCTATGAGGTGAGCAGCTTTGCTCTACCACAAGCTCTCCGCCATAATGTTCAGCCTTATCTTAGGCCCCAAATCATAGTATCAAATGATAAAGGACTGAAACCTCTGAAGCCATAAGTCAAAATAAGTATTTCCTCCTTGTGTTTTTCTCAAGTATTTGTCCCAGAGATGGAAAGTCTACCAAACACAGATGGGCCATATCACTTGGGCCTCATTCCTCTGGGCTCTCTCCTCTGCTGTGCTAACTGCCGGCTTACAGGCTGCATATGGAGGTCAAGTACAGGAAACACACCAGGGCTCTTCCAGTTCCAAAAGAGCCAGACCATGGGATTGCAGGATCTGGCTTGTAGCCCACACACCAAACCACATTTTCATTCAGACATAGCTCAATCCCCCATACAATTCACCTACAATTACTCTTATCCATATAAAATAGGATCTATTGACTCTCAAGCTGAAAGGATTTTGTTGGATTGTTTAGCTTACATATTTTTTCTTACACTGAAAAAGTAACTTCCTGCAAATAATTGAAACCACACACAAGTAGTCTAATGCTGCAATTGAAAGTCCTCTTCTCTGGGGTCCCCCTGCAGGTAAGCCCATTCCCTAAGGAGGTGTTATTCACCCCTGACAAAAATAATGTTAAAAATATTATACATCCTACCCAGTAACTGGCTTCTCTCCCCCACTCAACTACACATCACTGGCATATAATCACGTTCTTACTTTTAAGTAGTCCCTTGTCCTTTGTAAAAAGTGCCTTCTATTTATTGAATTAGATATATTATTATAATTTCATGGGCCTGCAATACAGTATGTACATTCCAGGCCATGTCCGACAATATTTTTCAGATGTTAAAACCGAAGTAAATGGGTTCCTATGTCAGATTCACAGAGTAAACACACCATCACCAGGTCCTGCCTTCTTCACCCTCCTGCAGGGAGCTTTGCAAACACCAGGCCTGAGCAGCATGGCATCCTGTTCAGAAGACCAAGGCACCTTGATAATTTTTCTGGGCAGAATGCCTTTCAGCAAATAGGGCCCTTTCTTGAATTCTTGATTCTTCTACTGTACTAAACAAAGCAAGATTTTGTTATCTCATACTCAGCCTCCTTGCACTTGAAAGCTCTGCTACTGGCTTCCCAGGCAGCCTGTTTGGAAAGGAGGCACTGTGACCATTATTCCCACTTTCAGTGTTTCATGTCCAAGGTCAAACTCTGTCCTGTGAAACACTTCTTAAAAATGAGGGAAATACTTAAAAATCTTTATTTACATCGAAGCCACAAAGGTGACTAAGAAAGATGGTACAAGTTAATGAACCCCAGAAGAAGTAATGTAAAGAAAGGGGAGAGTTGGCATGGAAAATGGAAACCCTTCAGCATTTTACCGTCCCAGTACTGCACACTAATCAGTGTCGAAGATGCTGGCCTTCACCTGAAGATGCTGAAAGTGGTGCTGCCATGAGCAAAAAGAAACTGCATTTTTAGGCAGTCAAGAAAGGAAATATTTATCCCTATTGCCAGCCATGAGCAGAAGTCATAGTCTGCAGAGCAGAGAGAGGTGAAGAGATCACTTATTAAGGGACAATGAACTTGCCCACCATCTGCTGGACAGTTCTCCATCATCCCAAGGCCAAAGAGAAGGATGCTGGAGACCTAACTGCAATGAAGACTTTGATCCACACACGTTTTTAGAGGGAGCAGGCTGTGGTGACCTATAGTCACTAACTCTCCAGGACCTGGCCTTCAGGGACAACCATCATGCCTGACCATGCAGCTTCCGAATCTATAGCATACCATCAGTGATTAACAGGGATGACCCAGGCTTACCATTCTCAGTGCACACTGCTTGCCAGAGCTTCAGAACAGACACACAGACAGTCTCTGCAACTGCATCTTTCTCTGCTGTTGAGAAGCACCTAGAGTGGGCAGGAAGAGCACACCAAACCTGGAAATCAGTCTTGATTTTCTTTTCACTTGGTTCCATCCCCGACTCACCAATGAGTAACTTTTTAAAATGCAGAACCACAGGTCACTAGGACCAAGGGACTGTTTAGTCATTGAGCCCAGAGTTCCAGGATGAGGAGGTCAGGTGCACAGAGGGTGGCATTGAACCAGCATCCAAGGGTGAGACTGGACATACAAACATATGAGCCTGAGTCTTAGGAATCATCCCAGCACAAGGGAAATATAAAATACATTTCATAAACCACTTCCTACCACACACATCTTTCTTTTGATGAAATTCTAAATGGTGTCAGCTGATTCTACTTTCTGATACAATCAATGAATTCCAAAGAGGAAAAGAACGACCAACAATCTTGAGAAACTGGTGGAAACCAGCAAGAAGGGTCATTTCTCTGACTCTGAAGTTCCCAGAAGCCTGTGACAGCTGTTCTCTCTCTCTCCAAAGGTTACCTGCAGTGTGACTGAAATGGCTTGAGGCTCCAAGTTCAAGGTTGCTCTTGGGGTAGTTTTGTTTTCCTAGAAGGGCCACCCTGCTGATTGTGGGGTGGGGACACAGAGTGACTCTACTCCCTGTGCACTCAGTATCTGTTTTCACAAGAATGGTTTTCTTCCCTTGCCTGGATAACCAGGCTGTCTTTCCAAACATCCCTACCTTCTTATGACCTCATTGTCACTGATGATGCTGAATCCATTGTGTGTTCTGAATAAAGTTCGTTCTGTGCCTGAAACAAATCCAAGGGAAACCATGTCAAGTTCCTGTCCTGCCTCACTGGTGCCTACCTACAGCATCCAGCTGATCATGGGAACCCACTACGAAAGGCCAAAGTCACCAAATTTATAGTTTGGCAGAAACAAATCTCTGTTTTAGGGGTAAGGACAGGGTCTTGGTATGTAACCCAGGCTGGCCTTGAACCTGAAATCCAACTGTGAATGCTGGGATTACAAGTATGTGCCACCAGGCCTAGTGAGAACTAAACACCTTTACATTCTGAAAAATGCAATTGCCATCAGTCATTTAATGCCACAGTTAGAGGGACTACTCAGAGAAGGAGGGCAGAGAGCTGGATGGCTCTGCAGCACAATCCATCACTTTGCAATCTTTAGAGAGCCTCCAGGAGCTGCTTCACCTCTGGAAAGGACTGACACACCTGTTCTTAAATATTTATTTCAAAGCTATTTCCAGGTTCTAGAGGGAAAACTACAATCTCTAAGAAATGCTCAAGGGGATACATTAACAGCCTCTGTTGTATATTAAAGGGAAGTCAGAGACTCCATCCATTTACACAAACAATTTCCTGTTATGGAGCAACAAGACTCGTTTAACCTGTGCTAGCAGTGTTTATAAGAACTGGTAATAGAAAATGGTATGGCTCTCATTAGGAGAAGAAGTTTCCTCTGAAACTATTTTCATGTTCTAAGCGGCCATTAAGTTGAACTGTAAGTTGAACCTTACAGTTTATTCTGCCTCCATTGCTCCATAGGGAGGTGGGATTTGCAATGTAGGATATTTGGAGTGGATGTGGGGGTGTAAGGTATATGCAAGATATGTGTGGGGTATGTGTGTGGATGGAGTGTGTAGAAAACATACATGGACATAAGAATTCATTCTGCGTGTCATGATGTGTTTACAAATATATATACCAGGTGAGTGAGTACTGTGTAAATATGTGCTTGTGTGGTGTACTAAAATAAATACATATGGAGTAAGCACATGCCACGTTTTGTGCTGTGTTGTATGTGTGTTGTTTACTGTATGTGTGCTGAGCATATGTGTGCTCTGAAGAGAGGATGGAGCAGAGGTGGGAGTGTATGCCTTGTGTACCCCCTGAGCACCTATATTAGATCTTCAGTCAATATTTGCAGAGGGGAGGGATTCTTTGACTTATAAAGCCACACCTCTAGTCCCTGTCCCTTCACAGTGAGCATGCTCAGGAGACCACACACATCTCTGGCTTACAATCCTTCATCATTTCAGTCAGGATTTCGATTCCCCCTGCATAGAACAGAGGTGTCTGGTCAGGCTTGGAAAGGGTTTTCAGGAGATTTTTTGTTGTCATGGCTGTGTTCTTTCCTGAATTCAGCAATTCATGGGCTTCCTTCTCTTGAAGATCTGCCTTTTCCCGAAGATCTACTTGGTTTAGATATTCTAGCAAAACAAGCAGGAAAAAAACAAAAGGAAGCAATGCTCAACAACCAACAATACCACACAGACACCACCTTCCTTCCCTCTATCCCTCCCTCCTCACTCCCTCCCTTCTCTTAAGGATGGGAAGTTGAGATGCCTAAAGTATTAAAAAATTCAAACTCTAAAATAGGTACAGTGGTGGGGGGAAGGGGGTGCCTTAGGAAAGGGGGAGGGTGAATGAAGGAGATTAAGGTAAGGGAATATGGTTGATGGACTTCATATACCCATATGAATTAGCACAGTGAAACCTCTTGCAATTGCTTGAAGTGGGGGGGGAGGGAGTTGAAGGGGAAAAATGGTGAGCACAATCTAACCAAGGCACAATATAGGCCTATTTGGAATGGTCACAATGAATCCCTCTTGTACAACAAATATATTCTAATAATTTTTTAAAAATTTAAACTCTTCTTCAGCAAGGCAAATATAGAAACAAAGTAAAATCTATATCCAGACTCTTAACTCTATTTGGGAATTTAGAGCAGTCCAGAGGCCCACAGGAGGATGGCACAGAAGAAAAGAAAAGTACAAAGTTGAGTGGAAGGAGAGGGAAGAGGAGCAGAGCAGGCCTGTTAATGCAGGTGGCCAGACTGTGCAGAAAAGGTAAGGCTGTTGCCCAGTGCAAGGGCAGAGGTAGGGAGGTAGGGAGGCAGGGAGGTAGGGAGGCACCCTACAGGAGGGACACAACAGAAAGTGAGATTCAAATGGAGGTTAACAGCAGGAACCTTCTCACCTTTCACCTGTGTCTGCAGCTTGGGGTTTATTTCTAAGATCTTCTGATAACACTCTCTAGACTAGAAAACAGAAACAAGACCTTGAAGAGTGGGAGGGGGTAACAGTGATTACAAGACAGACACTGGACATCATGGGGCTTGGTTCCTTCATTATCTCCTCCTAGCCTTCCCCGGTTCCCAGCACAGGAGGTAGGTGTGGAAAGCACTGTGTTCATTTGACATTTTGTTTATACTTCTCAAGGTCTACAACAGGTATTCTCAAGGGCAACAGGTATTATTTCAAAATTCCTTTAAAAAATTGTGTAGTCTGTAATGTAAAAATTGTATAGACTGTCATGAGAAATACCCAGTTCTAAAATTTTGTTGTTCATGTCTTCCTGGAATAGGAATGATCGTAATATAAATGGAGTACTTAGATATGATAATTTCACTAAGAAAGAACAAACAGGAGGCTACCCGTCTAGATATGCTCATGGGAAGTTAAGAAATAAATGAAGCTGGAAACAGTGTTGACAGAGAGTCAGGAATAGGAAAACAGAATTGCCTAGCTAAATGTATAGGCTGAGGGCCAGGTGTGATGGTTCATGCCTGTAATCCCGGTCAGTCAGGAGGCAAAGATTGGGAAGATCACTGCTTGAGGCCAGCCTAGGATAAAATGTTAGTGAGACCTTATTTCAAAAATAGCTGGATATGGTGGCACATGTTCATAATCCCAGCTACTCGAGAGGCAGAGATAAGGTGATCCTGGTCCAAGGTCAACCTGGGGCAAAAGTGCAAGACCCTATCTGAAAAATAACTAGAGCAAAAAAGGGCTGGGTCATGGCTCAATTGGTAGAATGCCTGCCTAGTAAGCACAAGGCTCTGAGTTCAAACCCCAGTACCACCACTACCACCACCAACAGAAGTCCAGGATGAAAAGAGAGGTGGTGAGGGGGTCCATTCACTGGTACCATCTGACTCAGCTAGAGAACTCAACAGTGTAGGAACTCTCCTTGAGGAAGCTGTTAGATAAGAAGTTTCTGGAAAAAGAAAGATTCTAGTTGGAGGGGGCTTTGGAGCTAAGGCAGTACTGCCCTTAGGGATATAAGAAACTCCCAGTGTACTCCAACGAGTCACCAAGAGAAAACACCAAGGGAAAAAAATCAAACAGTTCTGAGAGATCTTGAAGGTTCAAGGCTTGTCTAGAAGACTAAGACTGATTAAGAAATGAACTGAAGAAAAAATGAATTAAAAAAAAAAAAGCAGTGCCACAGGGGAGACGTATGTATATTAAACCCAATTCCTCTTCAACACCAGATCCAATCTACCAGCAGGTTCTCCTGTAAGTATACAGCCAAAATCCACTACTTCTTACACCTCCATCCCCAATCTGGTTCAAGCCAACATCACCTCTTGTTTGGATGACTTTCTGCAGTAGCCCTCTAATTGATTCTCTGTTCCTAGCTCCCCGTGCCAAAACATATTGTCATACAGAAGCCAGAGTAATCCTTTAAAATATAAATCAGATCACATTACTCACTGAAGGGTTTATTGAAAAACCCTCCAAAGGCTCACAGATCAAAGTAAAAGCCAAGGTCTGCTGAAAAGCCTGGACGGCCCTGTGGGATCAGCCTCGTGTCTTCATTTTAACTATCGCTCTCCATGGCAGGCTACTCTTTTATATACCCATAAGGTCTACTCACTTCCAGTCTCACTTCCACCACTTCTTGATTTATTTTTCTCAATAACACTCGTCACCATCTAACATACTGAACATCTACTTATTTGGTTTCTGCCTCCCAGCTGTCCCCACTCCAAAATACACTTTCCATGACATTAAGGACTTGTCTTGTTCACTGCTGCATTCTTACCGTCTGCTTGTCACTGCCTGACACATAGAAAAGACACAATAAATGTCTGCTGAATTAAGAAATTAAATGAACAACTGAATAAAATCTGGTGGAAAGGGAAAATTAATGCTTTTAAATTCACATTTCTTTTAACTTTATTGAAATAAGCCTGAATTTTTTTTATTTTTTTTTTTTACAATTCAAACCCAACAATAACTTAATAACTTAAAAATGTGTGAGGAAACTTTTTAAAAAAAATCTTATTAAAAGAACAAAAAAATTTCAAAAATAAAAATGTATCTTATAAAGAGAAAAACACCCCATGTTCATGAACTGGAAGACTTAATATTATTCAGTTGGTAATATTCTTCAAACTGATGGAGAAACTCATGTAATACCATCAAAATTCCATCTGGCTTCTTTGAAGAAATTGGCAAGATGATCTTGAAATTCATATAAAAATTCAAGAGAACTAAAATAACTAAAACAATCTTGAAAAAGAAGAGGAACACAGTGGGAAGATATACAGGGCTCAATTTGGAAACTTATTTCAAAGCTACAAAAATCAAGACAGTGATGCTTCCACAAGGATACATATGCAGATATGTGGGATAAAGTCAAAAGTCCAGAAAGCAGCCCATTTATTTATGATTAGCTGATTTTTGACAAGGTTGTCAAGATCATTGCAAAGGGGAAAGAAGAGTCTATAAATGGGGATGGGACAAATGGATATGATCATGCAAGAATGAAGTTGAACCCCAACCTTATACCATAAGTAAAACTAACTCGAAATGGATCAGAGACCTAAATGTGACAACTAAAGCCACGAAACTCTTAGAAAAAACATACGTGCAAATCTTCATGAGGTTATATTAGGCATCTACTTCTTAGATATGACACCCAAAACACAAACAACCAAATAAAACCATAGGCAACTGAGACTTCATCAAAAATGAATTATTTGGTGCTATAAGGACACGACTAAGAAAGAGAAAAGGCAACATATAAAGTGGAGAAAGTGTTTGCAGACCATATATCTGATGAGAAACTTGTATTTGGAATAGATAAAGAACTCCTACAATTAATTATAAAGAGATAGATAATTAACTTAAAAGTGGGCAAAGGATCTGCGAAGATATTTTCACCAAAGAAGACATACAAAAGGCCTTCATAAGCACATGAAGAGACCCTCGGCATCCTTAGCCATTTGGGAAATGCAAATCAACAGCTCAAGGAGCTATCAATTCAAACCTACTAGAATATCATACAAAAGACAGATAATAACAAGTACCACAGAGGACACCACTGGTAGAAATGCAAAATGCTCTAGCCATTCTGGAAAACACTTTGGCAATTTCCTCAAAATGCTAAACATAGAGTTACCATATGGCCCAGCAATTCCACTCCTAATATCTACCCAAGATGGTGGTAATAAGCATAAAATCCTGTACATATGTGTTCATAGTATCAATATCTATAGTAGTCAAAAAGTAGAAACAACCCAAGTGTTCACCAATGGATGAATGGATAAATAAAACATGCTGCATCATACAATGTTACTCAGCAATAAAAAGGAATGAATTCACTATGACATGAATGAAGCATACAAACATTATACTAAGTGAGAGACAGTGTCACAAAAGACCACATAATGTATGTTTCTGTTTATATGAAATGTCTGGAACAGCTAAATGTATACAGATGAAAGATTAGCAATTGCCTAAGGTTGAGGTGGATCTGAGGGCAGGAAGCGTGAATACTAGTGGTTACAGGATTTCTTTACAGAAAGTGACAAAAATGTCCTAAACTTGATTGTGGTAATCGTTGCCCAACTCTGTGAATATATTAAAAACTATCAATTGTATACTTTCTATAGGTAAATTGTATGGTATGTGAATTATATCTTGAAGTTGTTATTAACAATTAATAAATATTTTAGTGTGTATATAAATATTTGCATAGTAATTTGGGAGGATAAGATTATAAGTGAATTTCTGTCTTTCTCTCTCCCCCTCCCTCCTTCCCAGACTCCTTCCCTACCTCTCTTCTCATTCTCTCTCTCTCTCTCTCTCTCTGGTGGTATTAGGATTTGAACTTAGGACCTTACACTTGCTAGGTAGGTGCTCTACCACTTGAGCCACACCCCCAGCTCCTGTTCTTTTTTTGCTATGTGTTTTCTCTGCGGAAGTTGAACAAACACTCTGGTCGAGGATGTTGCTGGAGAGATTACTATAGCTGGTGGGGTTGTACTAGATGATTTCCAACACCCTTCCCAAGTCCAGGATTCTGAGATTTACTTTGAAAAATACTAAAGGATGGAATAATATCTAACCAATTGGGAGGACCATGGTTTTCCTCCGGACAATGGAAACAACCCTCTGTGACCTATCACGCCACTTGCATTCTCCAAGAACTTACCACACTGTAATTCTTCAGGGCCAGGTGGGCTTTTCCCATGTGGAAATAGGCTTTTGTGCATCTTTCATCACACTGCATAAAAAAGAATGTCTGATGAGAGGTTTCAGAAGATTTGAAGTCATTAGCTACTTCCCTACCTGCCTCACTAACAGAGTGAAGGCAGAGCTTTGGACAGCTATCAGAGCTGACAATGAAAACTTTTCTGTGCATCTGTGACCAAACTAATGGATGCCTGTGAGGGGCCTGGATGCAAATTAATGGTACCCACCACTTTTCATTTCCATTTAATAAGACTCACTCAGGAAGCAAACCAGAGCCCTTAGTTCAGAAGAGCTCTTAACACTGGCTGAATGTTAGAATCACCTGGGATGCACTTAAAAATCCTGACCAGGCTGCTTGCTGCACCAATTAAATAACAGTCTAGGGTGGGGCCCTGGCTCAAAACAATTTTTCAGCTGTCTGGGTGAGGTAACCGTGTAGTCCAATTTGAGGACTACCGATACTAAAAGAGAGAGATCTGGCTCCGGGAAAACAGCCGAGGTTACCAGTATAGCTTAGTGGGATGGGGAAGTTCCTCCTCCCGAGTAAACTACAAGTTCACTGGGAACTCACATTTAAATTGTTTAAGATCTGGAGGGGGCTGGTGCAGTGGTTCGAGTGGTAGAGCACCTGCCTAGCAAGTGTGAGGCCCTGAGTTCAACCCCACCCAGTTCCAAAACAAACAAACAAAAAAAGATCTGGAGGGATACCCCGTTCAAAAGACAGTATTAAAACTTATTCACAGAGAGAGCTCTACAACTTCCTTCCCCTACATAGTATAAATCTGCAGGGCATGACTTAAGCACAGAGATATGAACTCAAATTGAAAATATTCAGTTACTTAACCTTCGCTAAACTCCTTGGAGATGCAAGGCATTGTTTGTGCCAGGTGAGATGCCCTTTAAGGCTTAAACGTAACAAGGTTAAAAAATCAGGAGTCTGAAGTGTCCGGGTGAATCCCACTCACCAGAAGTGTGATGCTACCTAGCCCCCCTAACTTTTTGGATTCTCACTTTCCTTATCTGGAAAGTGAAGATAATAGTAGAAGCTCTGTCTCTTGGGCAGGCTGTTGTGATGAAGAATCATTACAATGCTTGGCGCAGTGCTGGGTAATACATCGTCAGCTGCTGTTGCTGTGATTATGTGAGCAGCAGTCCATTTCACAGCAAAATCGATCTAGAAAAAAGCTGAGAAATAGTAGGGGAGGAAACAACCATAATTGTTGTTGCAGGTCTCTTTTCGTGTCCCGATTCGCTGCTAAGTGAATGGGAGTAATAAAGATGATAAAGAGAGCTATGACTATGATTATTCAGCCCCCCCACGCACCAGGTGCTGAACTTGATGGTTCATGTGAACGATCTCATGGGAGCCTTTCAACAACTCAGTGAAGCAGGTACAATAAGTCACCTCCATTTTGTAGACAGAAAGGTTCAAGATCACATGGACAGGAAGTGGAAGAGCTAGAATGTGAAATCTGGCCCCTTAACTCCAGTTGCCTAAGGTTGAGGTAGAGATGAAGGGAAGAGGAGTAAATGCAAAGGGCTATGGGGCTTTTCATAGGAAGTAACAAAAATGCCCTAAAATTGATTGGGGTAATGGTTGCCCAATTCTGTGAATATACTAAAAACCATCAGTTGAATATTTTCTGTAGGTAAACTGAATGGTATGTGGGTTATATCTTAAAGTTGTTATTAACAATATATTATATTTTAGTGTAGTATATAAATCTTTGCATAGTAACTTGGGGTGATGAGATTACAAGAGAATTTTTTGCTTTCTCTCTAGAGGTTTTCTAGAGATTGAACAACAAACATTAGATTTTGCTGAAAAGGTGAAGCCCAAGAAGGGCTTAAAAATGATATCAGGGGTCAGGATGTAGCTCAGTGGTAGAGCACTTGCTTAGCATGCCAAAAGGCCCTGGGTCTAATCCCCAGCACTGCAAAAAATATTTATATATCAAATCTGTTTCAGAAAAAAAGTATATAGACATTATAGGAAATGTTACCACAAAAGTTCAGTACAAGGACATCTGCTCCAAAAAGACGAAGTCTAAAAGAGGACATGCAACAGAGCAGGGATTTAAACTGGATCTTGAGTAATGGGGAGAAATGAAGACAGGAGGATGGAGAGGGAAGGGGATGGGCAGCATCCCGAGATGGAAAAGTCCAGAAGGCCTTTATGGACAGGGCAGTTGGGATTGAGAAATTGGGTAGAGGGCAGACAGGACTGGAAGGGGCAAGCTAGACACAACTCCACATGGAGGCTGTGAACGCCAGGTGAGAGTCATTGATTTGATGGTGGTGTGAAGACAAGTTGGTCTGGAGGCACCATGTAGAACTGAGCAGAGGACAGAAAAGCAGGGAGATGAGTGAGGAGACCAGACAGTCACTTGGAATGAGGGCTGATGTCTGAAATCCTGGTGACAGTGGGAGTGGAAGGAAGTACAGACATCAGAGCTATGTCAAGGAAAGACCAGCACCAATGCCAACAAACCATGCAAAATAAGGGTGAAGGAAGGTGTGAAGTCGAAGCTCAGCGTCTGTATCTGGAAACCACAGTGTGCAATTAGCAAAAAGAGGATAGTGAGGCAATGGAATTTTATGCAGCCATGAAGAAGAACGAAATGTTATCATTCGCTGGTAAATGGATGGAATTGGAGAACATCATTCTGAGTGAGGTTAGCCTGGCCCAAAAGACCAAAAATCGTATGTTCTCCCTCATATGTGGACATTAGATCAAGGGCAAACACAAGGGGATTGGACTATGAGCACATGATAAAAGCGAGAGCACACAAGGGAGGGGTGAGGATAGGTAAGACACCTAAAAAATTAGCTAGCATTTGTTGCCCTCAATGCAGAGAAACTAAAGCAGATACCTTAAAAGCAACTGAGGTCAATAGGAGAAGGGGACCAGGAACTAGAGAAAAGGTTAGTTCAAGAAGAATTAACCTAGAAGGTAATACCCATGCACAGGAAATCAATGTGAGTCAATGCCCTGTATAGCTATCCTTATCTCAACCAGCAAAACCCCTTGTTCCTTCCTATTATTGCTTATACTCTCTCTACAACAAAATTAGAAATAAGGGCAAAATAGTTTCTCCCGGGTATTGAGGGGGTGAGGGGGGAGAGAGAGGGGGCGGGGTGGGTAGTAAGGGTGGGGGTGTTGGCAGGAGGGAGAAATGACCCAAGCATTGTATGCACATATGAATAATAAAACAATAAAAATTAAAAAAAAAAGAGGATAGTGAGGGTGGTCAGTGGGGAAGCTGATTTCTAGACATCCTGAGTTCCAGGTGATGTAAAGACAACTGAATGAAAACCTGTAGGAGGTGACAGACATTCAGCTTTGGCATTGGAGGAAGGGGGAGACTGGCTAAGTATTTCTGGGAGTCATTTGCAGACAGTTGTACCCACGAGAGGAGATGATAGCTTTGAGGAAGCAGCTGTAGAGTGAAGAAAGGCAGGGAGCAGAGTTGTGAATTTGCCAAATTCACAAAAGATAAGGGGAAAGGGAGAAACTCCAGCACTTCAGCTCCTAAGAGCACATGTTCATGTCAGTCACCAGCAGAGCACTAGGGTTACACAGCGAGAGCACCCAAGCCCCAAGCTTGAGGCACTGGCCACAGCCTGTGTGGGTGTGTCGTGGAGAAGTGGGTATAGCTGTGACTTTGCTTTCCTTCCTCTCTGACTCAAGGGGGCCACTGGTGGATTTTCTCGGTATGAGGGCCTGTTCTCCCTTAGCTATGTATTTGCACGCAGTAGGACTTTCTCAGGTGAAGCCAGTTTCCCTTGATAGGAATCCTGTGTTCAGAGGAGGATGTATTTCATTGTGCAGGTAGTGTTCTGTCAGGAAAGAAATGATTCCAATCCTAATTGAAAACAGTTCGGCTGCCTTAGCTTCCTTGACAGGGAACATCAGTCCAAAAATATCATCACCTGGGCTTGTCTCTATGAATTCACAAGTGTCAAAAATGTTAAATTGGAGTGAAAGTACTGATGCTCTTAATAATGGAGTGCCAGTGACATTCACTACTGATATTAAAGACTTTTAAAGAGGGTGAAACTTTTTCTTTGCATTCACAGCTTCCACACAGAAGAGACCAGCGTCACCAGTTTTAGAATTCCTTGTGCATTTTTTCTCCATCCCTTCAAGTGTTTATGCAAAACCTCTTCAACTGGGAACCTAGCTGGGCCTTTAATGAGATTGGCTGCTGAGCACCAGTGTTTTTTCAGTGTCTGCCCCATTGGGCCTGCTTTGTCTGGCTTTCACTGTTAATTACATTGTGCTACAATTAACATTTGGGAAGGGGCCCAGGTGTATCCTGAGTTAGCACACAGGTGTGTCTACCTCTTTTTTTTTTTTTTTTTTCCAGATCATAAAAGACACCTTGGAGGCCCTGTGAGTAGATTTTGTTTCTTCCCTAGAAGGGAATGAGAAGCACACCTGGAGATTCTAGGGTTTATGGTTTCAGAGGAGAGGCCATTTACAGTAGATGGCTATGAGCACAGGCTTACAGTTAGACTGACACTAGCTTCATGGTCCTGTGTAAGTGACTTTAATTCATTTCTGAGGCTTAGCTTCTTGGTCAGAAAAATTGGAGAAATAGTGGTATTGGGCCAAACAGAATAGGATGTTGTAAGCATACAGCAAATGATGAGGTTTGCTATCATTGTTCAAATAAACAATCCTTGCTTCTCTTTTCTCTTACAGAATGATGGCAGAAAAAATTCATCATCAGACAAGGTGATAAACTGGTGTGAAAACTTGATGCTGTTGTCAGCTTTGGGCAACTCTTATAAAAGTCTCCTGGGTGCACTGGGACAATTTTTACCAAATTCTGTTTCTTGTAAGGGATAATGAAATCTGATGCTCTCCTAGGTGTGGTGGCTCACACCTGTAACCTTAGATTCTTGGGAGGTGGAGATCTGGAGGACTGCAGTTTGAATCCAGCCCTGGCAAAAAGCTAGCCAGACCCCCATCTTGACCAATAAAAACTGGGCATGGTGGTATACACCTGTCATCTCACCTACAGGGGAAGTGTAAATAGGAGAATCACAGTCCAGGTCAGCCTGGGCATAAATGCAAAACCTTATTAAAAAAAATAACTGGAGCATAAGGGGTTGTGGGGGCTCAGGTGGTAGAATACTGCATAGCAAGCACAAAAGGAGGGAATCGGATGCTCCAAATGTCAATTTTGGAAGAGCCCTCATGTTTTATGAGCCATCATAAGCAAAGATCATCATAAGGTAAATTTCTAATTCATCCCCATTTCCCTTGCTTACCCTCCCCACAGAAAACCCAAGCAGGGGGATGTAGCCCATGCACTGCTGTGCATGTGTGCTCTTGGGTTAGGCTTTGGTCAACAGCTAGGGTACATGTACTATTCCGGGGAATCGAAGCCACATGACATGCCTGGCACAGTCTTCTGGCACCTCAATTTTACTTGATTGTAAGCCACTTAAAATAATATTGTTACATTAAAACAAAGAGATACATTTTATGGTGTGCCACACAAATTCCCAAGGATGTTTAAGATTAAAAGCACATGTCTTAAAAAAAATTTCATGCTTCTTGTTTCTAGACCCTTGGGTGGGGGGATCATATCTATTCTCCTCTGCTGTTAGCAGCACTTGGATGCAGAAGTCTGAAAAGGGCTAGCTCTGGTTATTTCATTAAAGGCCCTTGTGACAATGTGATACAGGGGAACGTGAACCAAGAGTTATTTAAGCATCTAGTCATCTGAAATAATGTCCCAAAGAAGTAATCACACCATTTTAAAAATGAGCAGCCTGTACTTCTATGCATCTTTGACTGTCTCCTTTGGCAGATTTCGGAAGGAATACTATACAAAGCATTGTACGGTATTAAGTGCCTGTATGGTTTTGTGTTAAGTGCCTGAGGCCTGGCTGAGGTGGAACCACAGGAATTCTTTCTTCTGATTACCACTTTACAAACACAGGACCATATGACATATTTCAAATTATTAGAGCTGGAAGGAAAAAGCTGAAATTGATGAGGAAGAATGACAGTATTGTAGAAACAAGCTCCCATGCCTGATTCGAGAAGACAGAAGAAGCATTTCCACTAGGACATGGAACAAAGCATCTAATAAAACAATCACAAAGAATGAGCTGTTGTGATATAAAACCTTGGAAAGTCGATAACAGGAGTGCCTATTATGAGCTAGGCTCTTTATGTATGTTATCATGTCCTTCATAATTCTATTCTATCTCATTTTATAGATCAGGAAACTGAGGCTCGATGTGCAGATTATACCCTTTCCTACCACAGTGTACTGGCCGCTCCCTTTTATTCACCTTAGGTAGGACGCTTAGCTTGAGCAAACCCAGTGCCATCTTGTGGGAAAGGAAATATTCTCTTACCTTCAGAGCCCAGTCACAATCCACCAGCGCCTTCTGGTAGTCCCAAGTTTGATGTAAGCCTGCAATGACACAAAGAGCTGACACTCAAACACAACTCTGCATCAAGCAATCTTTGGTCAATACACAAAGAGCAGGGAACAGTGGAATGGTGACAAGGAGGAGTAACTAGTTGCCACCTGAATCAGGCAGGATCCCACCAGGAAGCTGGCAGCATACACACCCTGGAAAACTCAGGAGAGTTTGACAAAGGGACTACTTAAGGTGAGAACAGAGTTTAGGGACTGACAAGGGATGTTACAGAATGCCAGGGCTAGCAACAGTGGGCAGTCATTACCACAGCTAGAACTAAAAGGGTGGAAAGAGGAGAGGACAGCCATGGGGACTGCCTGACATGAGCTGAGGCCTTTACCAGAGACTTCAGCCAGGAAAATAAGTCCCTCATCTCACAGTCCTCCTTCCTTCTGATTTCATTGGCTGAACCCAATGGAAACTAGAGTGCTGGGAAGCATACAGGGCATCAGTGCACACAGGCCAGACCCTCAGGTATGAGAGAGAGCAGAGCAGAGAAGGATCAGGAAGGGCAAAGAGAAAATGTCCAGCACACTAACCACATCTACAAAGCCTCTGGGGTCTACCTTACTGTGAATGTTCCAGAAAGACACCAAATCACAAAGTGAAGCAAAAAGACAGACAACTGTTGGAAGGATGTGGGGAAACTGGAAGTACTGGGAGTGAGTTGATACAGCCACTGTCAAAGACCATCTGGCAGTAACTCAAAAGGTTAAATGTAGAGTTACCATCCAGCCTAGCAATTCCACTCCTAGGTGCTGCAAACATGCATCTGCTCAAAAATTGTGCATGTTGCTCGTGGCAGAATTATTCCGAACAGTCAAAAAGAATAGACATGTTCATCAGCTGATGGATAAATAAAATACAGCATACCCATATGATGGAAAGTTATTCAGCAACAAAAGGAATAAAGAACGGATACACAGTGTGACATGGATGAACCTTAAAAACATGCCCACCAGGAGTAGCAATACTTATCTCTGACAAAGTAGACTTCAAACCTACATTGATCAAGCAAGATAAAGAAGGACATTCCATACTAATAGAAGGGGAAATAGACCAAAAGGAAATAATAATTATCAACCTGTATGCACCCAATGTCAACACACCCAATTTCATCAAACATACCCTGAAGGACCTAAAAGCATATATTAACACCAACACAGTGGTTGTGGGAGACTTTAACACCCCATTATCATCAATAGATAGGTCATCCAAAAAAAAATCAATAAAGAAATCCAAGATCTAAAATATGCAATAGATCAAATGGACCTAGTAGGTGTCTACAGAACATTTCATCCAACCTCTACACAATATACATTCTTCTCAGCAGCCCATGGAACCTTCTCCAAATAGACCATATCCTAGGGCACAAAGCAAGTCTCAGCAAATATAAGAAAATAGAAATTATACTGTGCATACTATCTGATCACAATGCAGTAAAAGTAGAACTCAACAACAAAACTAAAGACAAAAAACATGCAAACAGCTGGAAACTAAATAACTCATTACTTAATGAAGAATGGATCATCGATGAAATAAAAGAGGAAATTAAAAAGTTCCTGGAAGTCAATGAAAATGAAAACACAACCTACCGGAACCTATGGGACACAGCTAAGGCAGTCCTGAGAGGAAAGTTTATAGCCATGAGTGCATATATTAAAAAGACTGAAAGATCCCAAATCAATGACCTAATGATACATCTCAAACTCCTAGAAAAACAAGAATAAGCAAATCCCAAAACAAATAGAAGAAGAGAAATAATAAAAATAAGAGCTGAAATCAACAAATAGAAACCAAAAAAACCATACAAAGAATTAATGAAACAAAAAGTTGGTTCTTTGAAAAAATAAACAAGATCGATAGACCCCTGGCAAACCTGACTAAAATGAGGAGAGAAAAAACCCAAATTAGTAGAATCAGGAATGCAAAAGGGGAGATAACAACAAACACCATGGAAGTCCAGGAAATCATCAGAGACTACTTTGAGAACCTATATTCAAATAAATTTGAAAATCTTAAAGAAATGGACAGATTTCTAGATACATATGATCATCCAAAACTGAACCAAGAGGAAATTAATCACCTGAATAGATCTATAACACAAAATGAAATTGAAGCAGCAATCAAGAGTCTCCCCAAACAGAAAAGTCCAGGACCTGATGGATTCTCTGCTGAATTCTATCAGACCTTTAAAGAAGAACTGATACCAACCCTCCTTAAACTGTTCCACAAAATAGAAAGGGAAGGAAAACTGCCTAACACATTTTATGAAGCCAGTATTACACTTATCCCAAAACCAGGCAAAGACACCTCCAAAAAGGAGAACTATAGGCCAATCTCCTTAATGAACATTGATGCAAAAATCCTCAACAAAATAATGGCAAACCGAATTCAACAACACATCAAAAAGATTATTCACCATGACCAAGTAGGCTTCATCCAGGGATACAGGGGTGGTTCAACATATGAAAATCAATAAAAATAAACCACATTAACAGAAGCAAAGACAAAAACCACTTGATCATCTCAATAGATGCAGAAAAAGCCTTTGATAAGATCCAACACCATTTCATGATAAAAGCTCTAAGAAAACTAGGAATAGAAGGAAAGTACCTCAACATTATAAAAGCTATATATGACAAACCTACAGCCAGCATTATACTTAACGAGAAAAACTGAAACCATTCCCTCTAAAATCAGGAACCAGACAAGGATGCCCACTATCTCCACTCCTATTCAACATAGTACTGGAATTCCTAGCCAGAGCAATTAGGCAAGAAGAAGGAATAAAAGGAATACAAATAGGTAAAGAAACTGTCAAAATATCCCTATTTGCAGACGACATGATCCTATACCTTAAAGACCCAAAAAACTCTACTCAGAAGCTTCTAGACATCATCAATAGCTACAGCAAGGTAGCAGGATATAAAATCAACATAGAAAAATCATTAGCATTTCTATACACTAACAATGAGCAAACTGAAAAAGAATGTATGAAAACAATTCCATTTACAATAGCCTCAAAAAAAATCAAATACCTAGGTGTAAACCTAACAAAAGATGTGAAAGACCTCTACAAGGAAAACTATACACTTCTGAAGAAAGAGATTGAGGAAGACTATAGAAAGTGGAGAGATCTCCCATGCTCATGGATTGGTAGAATCAACATAGTAAAAATGTCTATACTCCCAAAAGTAATCTACATGTTTAATGCAATTCCCATCAAAATTCCAATGACATTCATTAAAGAGATTGAAAAATCTACTGTTAAATTTACATGGAAACACAGGAAGCCACGAATAGCCAAGGCAATACTCAGTCAAAAGAACAATGCTGGAGGTATCACGAAACCTGACTTCAAACTATATTACAAAGCAATAACAATAAAAACAGCATGGTACTGGCACAAAAACAGACATGAAGACCAGTGGAACAGAATAGAGGACCCAGATATGAAGCCACACAACTATAACCAACTTGTCTTTGACAAAGGAGCTAAAAATACACAATGGAGAAATAGCAGCCTCTTCAACAAAAACTGCTGGGAAAACTGGTTAGCAGTCTGCAAAAAACTGAAACTAGATCCATGTATATCACCCTATACCAAGATTAACTCAAACTCTAAAGGATAATAGGTACTCTGGAGTTAAGGTATAGGTAAGAACTTTCTCAATGAAACCCCAGCAGCACAGCAACTAAGAGATAGCATAGATAAATGGGACCTCATAAAACTAAAAAGCTTCTGTTCATCAAAAGAAATGGTCTCTAAACTGAAGAGAACACCCACAGAGTGGGAGAAAATATTTGCCAGCTATACATCAGACAAAGGACTGATAACCAGAATATATAGGGAACTTAAAAAACTAAATTCTCCCAAAACTAATGAACCAATAAAGAAATGGGCAAGTGAACTAAACAGAACTTTCTCAAAAGAAGAAATTCAAATGGCCAAAAAACACATGAAAAAATGCTCACCATCTCTAGCAATAAAGGAAATGCAAATTAAAACCACGCTAAGATTCCACCTCACCCCTGTTAGAATAGCCATCATCAGCAACACCACCAACAACAGGTGTTGGCGAGGATGTGGGAAAAAGGAACCCTCTTACACTGTTGGTGGGAATGTAAACTAGTACAACCACTCTGGAAAAAAATTTGGAGGCTACTTAAAAAGCTAGACATTGATCTACCATTTGATCCAGCAATACCACTCTTGGGGATATACCCAAAAGACTGTGACACAGGTTACTCCAGAGGCACCTGCACACCCATGTTTATTGCGGCACTATTCACAATAGCCAAGTTATGGAAACAGCCAAGATGCCCCACACTGACGAATGGATTAAGAAAATGTGGTATCTATACACAATGGAATTTTATGCAGCCATGAAGAAGAACGAAATGTTATCATTCGCTGGTAAATGGGTGTAATTGGAGAACATCATTCTGAGTGAGGTTAGCCTGGCCCAAAAGACCAAAAATCGTATGTTCTCCCTCATATGTGGACATTAGATCAAGGGCAAACACAACAAGGGGATTGGACTTTGAGCACATGATAAAAGCGAGAGCACACAAGGGAGGGGTGAGGATAGGTAAGACACCTAAAAAATTAGCTAGCATTTGTTGCCCTTAACGCAGAGAAACTAAAGCAGGTACCTTAAAAGCAACTGAGGCCAATAGAAGAAGGGGACCAGGAGCTAGAGAAAAGGTTAGATCAAAAAGAATTAACCTAGAAGGTAATACCCACGCACAGGAAATCAATGTGAGTCAATGCCCTGTATAGCTATCCTTATCTCAACCAGCAAAAACCCTTGTTCCTTCCTATTATGGCTTATACTCTCTCTACAACAAAATTAGAAATAAGGGCAAAATAGTTTCTGCTGGGTATTGAGGGGGTGGGGGGGAGAGGGAGGGGGCGGAGTGGGTGGTAAGGGAGGGGGTGGGGGCAGGGGGGAGAAATGACCCAAGCCTTGTATGCACATATGAATAATTAAAAAAAATGCCCATTATATGTGCAGTTAATGCATACAAAATAAAAAGAGAAAGAAAATAAAAAAATATATACACATATACATATATTTATTATGTTAATAAATGAAGGAAGTTAGTCATAAAAGGATAAATATTACATGATTCCATTTATGGAATGTCTAAAATAGGCAAAGGTATGCAGATGTAAAGTAGATTAGAGGTTGCCTAGGGCTGGGGTTGAGGGATGGGAATATTGGAAGGTGATAGCTAGAGGGTAGAAGGTTTCTTCTGGGGATGATGAAATGTTCAAACACTAACCATGATGACTGTGCAACTCTGTAATTAGACTAAAAACCAACAACTGTACACTTGAAATGGGTGAACTATAGCTCGGTAGTGTTGTTAACCAAAATTGATAAAAACAAGTCTGTTTTGTCTTCATGAGCCAAACAGAAAGGAAGAAATGCAGGAAATGGGCTGACATGCAAGAGTCCAGCACCATGAACTCTTAGTACCTGGGCACTCTTTTGGAATCCTCTAGAGCCAGGGAAAAATCTTGAAAAATCAAAAATAACTTAGTAGAAGGGGGGCTATTAGGGAAGGGGGGGCTAAGAAGATAAGAGAAGGGAATAGCGGGTGAGTAAGATCAAAGTGAGTTACATGCATGTATGAAAATGTCCCAACAAATTCCATTATATGTGCAATTAATGCATACAAAATAAAAAGAGAAAGAAATAAAAATATATATACACATATACATATATTTATTATAAGAACTGTCTTGGAATTAACTTATCAACTTAACCTAAACTGACTTGAGGATTTAGTTCACTTAAAGTTTCTAAGAACTAAAGTCCACTAAAAACTGAATGACTATTTACGATATGTACGATGGTTACTATAATCTCCCTATTAATAACTGGATAAAATAAGTCACCAATAAATTCTTACCAAGATGCACTACATAGATTTTAAGCATTCTTCTTTAGGAAAGTTCCCTACAAAGCAGCAATGATCACCCCATGTAAGGAAGGAAAACCAAGCACCAGGAGGACAAGGAGCCTTTTCAGGGTCCCGTCAGTCACGAATAATAGAGGCAATGACAAATGTAGGTTTTCCCATGATCAGAACTGTACCAAGGCATTGTGACATTCTTATCAAAAATATGAAATATTTACATGGACAAGACAGTTATGGGGTCAGTGTTATAACTCATAGGGAATCTAAGCCTTCAACCAAAGTGAGGTCGGGGCAAGCCATCTCCGGGTAATGAACTTCTGCACTTCGGCTCTTCATGGCCATGAAAAGGAAGCTGTTATGTGATGCTTTCATTAACTTGAGCTCTGCACTAATTGAAGAAGAAAACTCTTTGAGTGCTCTGTTCTACAAAGCACCAACTTTTCCTCTGGGATACTAGGTTGCATTTGAAAGTTAGATATAAAGAAGAAGTTAGCATCCTTCTGGACAACTATAGCCATGGTTTTATGACAAAGACCCCAAAAAAGTCTACATGGGCTTCAAAAATTTCTCTACATGGCTTTAACTTTCTCTTTTCTCCTTTTTTTTTTTTTTAACACCCTGTAACTTATCCACTCTCTTTTGCTTTTCCACATTTTAAGGAGAACTATTTTTTCCAAAATGGCAATTAAATTTTAGACTTATCTAAATTATGCCAGCAATCTATTGATTGTAACATTAGCTCCAGGAGAAAAATAAAGCAAAGAAAGGGTAAGATTTTTTTTTTCTTTAGCAAGTAACACTCAATTTACAGGGTCCTTATTACGTGTTTTCTGGCACTGCATGCAAACAAGGGAGGCATTTAAAAAATAGTCGTTCCAATGATTTGTAACACCAGGCAGCAGATTTTGCATTCATTTGTCTCTGAATACAAGCTTTCTCTTTGGGAAGCCTGAGAGAAATCGGTTCCCCAAAGCTTTTCATTGCATTTACTTATTTCCACAGTCATTGTTAACACGACTCTTCAGAACTAATCAAAAAGTTGCTTTAAATTGAGTACAGTAAAAATGTAACTAATTTAGATGTATCAGGGCATGGGAAGTCTGACTTAGATATAAGTCTGAATTACATAACATTTTAAAAGCAATTCAATTTTATTGCTTTGAATCACTGCAGAGAACAAGCATCAGTAGATAGATATTTTTAAAGACTAGATTTGGTGATAAATAAGAAGGAAATGTAATTATTGCATTAATTGCTTACATTGAAATGATTCCTCTGAATTGTCAACAGAAACTTAATTCCTTAAATGGACTTATTACACTTCCAATGTTATGTAACTTAACAAGGATTTACTGAACATCTGCTACAAACAGAGCATTAGAGGAAAAAGTTTATGGCAGCTTTTGCCCTCAATAACTTTCTATCTTTGAGGTTGTTAAGGTGATAAGACGTGCCTTCCCAAGTCCACCTCTAGTGATCTCATTTGTCAATTCATTTCCCTATAAGAAGGTTTCTTCACAAATGAGAGGAGTTAAATGACACCTCAACTCTAGCTGGATGTATGCAAAGTGCTAAAGTAATGAGATTATACTGCACTTAGATTTAGTCACCATTTAATCACTGTCAATCACCAGATTCTCTGGCCTCTAACCGTCCTCCTTCTTGATTTTGATGCTCCTCCTCAACAAAGCCCAGCCAGACATTCCTGAGTTACAGAGATTGCTGCTGCTGAGTACTCTGCTACAGACTCTCCTTTCAGTAAATGACACGGCATCAAGGTCATCCCACACAGGTCCTGCTGACAGGTCCTGACTGTTGGGTAATCATGTCCATCAACCTGTCAGCTTTTCAGGCCTGAGCAACAGAGACCTCTACCACACAAAACCCCAACTACTTCTCAAAGATAAGGTCACAGGTGACATTCTTGTTTCAACAGAGAGCTGTTAGCCTTGTCCCTTCACTAAGTAGCAAGCAGGTATAAACATCTGGGTTGTAGTTCTGCCTGGCATCCTGGGAACTGAGATGCCCTGTGATGCAAAAAAGCTGAAAGGGCTTCAGAAACTCAAATTTTCTGAGAAATTAGCTATAAGTCCATCAGCTTCCCAGTTTCACTCCAGTCACAGATGCTTAAAGGGACTGATGCAACAAGTAATAAATAGGAGTTGGCAGTTGAGACACCACCAAAAACAGGATGTGGAACACACTGAATGGTGGCAGAAATCCCAGGTCTCCTAGGTCATTGCATTCCATTAGTCTTCTCTTTTATCCAGATGGGAGAGAGAGAGGTATATGCAGCTCTCCACAAACCTTCCTTCAGTGATTTCACATTGGTAGCTTGAAAGCAGATTCTAGTGAAAGTGTTTATACCATGGAAATTGGTACACACTATTCACAAATCAGTTCTCCCCACACCCCAAACAAGAGCCAGCCCACCTGTGATTCCATCTACTCTTGTCTTTGTCTTGTTTTCTCAAGTTTAGCAGCAGCTGTTCCCTGAGACAACCCCACGGACACATCTGTGGCTCACTGACCTGGGCCCGGTTGGTGTACAGCACTTTCATATCCTTCATCTTCTCCAAACCTTTGCTGTAGCACAGTATGGCTGTTTCATAGTCACCCTTGACAAAGGCTTCATTCCCTTGTTCTTTCAGGGCTATGAGAATAAAAGTCACACAAGTGAACTCTCACTAGATGTCAGAAGATTCTATCCAACTGCAGTTCCCCGATTTTCCAGTTCTACAAGAAAGTGCCTGTTTCTGCACCAAGACTCAGGACCATGTCAAGCTTGCCAGAGACTAAGGAGACGCATCCAGTGTCCCACAAAAGGATCTCACAGTTAATCTTTAGTAAATATGGAATCATCCAGATCTGTGGCACCTGTACCACTGGGTAGTATAAAATAACACTGAAATCATTCATGTGATTCTTGTCATTTGTATCTTACCCCAACACACAACATTTGTCTTTCTTTTTATTATTTCTCCTCTCCCCTCTCACATTTTGCTTTCTTGTTTCATTTTCCTTTCTGACTTCTTTATCTAGGGTTCAGGCTAGCCAGTGGAGCCTCACTTCCCTCCCTCCCTAATTTCTAAGCACTGGTCTAGAATTGGACCCACTAAGCCCATCCACATGTTTTAGAAGGAGGGCTGAGGCCAACCGAGGCAGCTGGTTGCAGCAAGCAGAGGACAGGCCTCTGCTGACTTCCCTCTGGCCAGATCCCACTGATGCAGCTTCTTTACAAACCTACCACCTGGGAATCTTGATGACCTTAAATAGGCTCCTGTGTACTCCTTCTAGCATGATCCGTTTTAGTTATTAAAAATGATAATTACCATCTGCTAGGGCTTTGTTTTCCCTTCTTCTCTTGGCTCGTTCCTTTGCATCCTTCTCCACAGATGCCAAGAAGGCCTCTGACAGCAGTGATTTCAAACATTAAAAAGAAAACCCAAATACTATAAACAGTTCTTTCATTCAAATTCCAAAGCTACTTTCAAACTTTGGAGCTACACTTCTCATGCATACACATGGAGGCACAGACATGCACACGTGCTCACACACACACAAATTCTGAGGCAACCAAAATGACATTTTCTTAATTTGACATTAAATGTGTGATGTATTATTATACATGATGGCTATGACTATGCTCCAAATTTGAATTATGTCTTTTAAAAGAGTTTTTCTTTGGAGAGACTTTTTTTGTGCTCCTTTTAGCATAATGAGCTTTGAAGATGAGCAACAAAGAAAATATCTGGATCCCTTGAGCAGCTAAGAGTAAATTAGATGACACAGAATAAGTAAATTCAGTTTACAAAGATTGTCCAGGAGAAAATACAGAAAAGCCCCCGAGTACTGTCCTCTCTGAGCAATGCTTCTGGAATCAAGTGATTAGCAGGTTTTTTTCCATGAGTGTTTGTAAGCCCTGAGGTTATAATTTAAGGGTGTGGAAGTTACAGTCAATAAAAACTGATCCTGAATGCATAAAACACATTTGAAAGAAAGATGCTGTCCGTACCTGGGTTTGTTTCATCTTCATTCTGCAAGGCACAGGTTATCATAAAAACAAAGAAACAAATTTCAAAAAACCACTCACTGATTAGTATGTATATGAACCAAGAAAGTAAATCAATTACAAATGAAGAGTCAGGTCATTTCCTTTAACCACCAGTACTGAAAGGTCGAAAATTTGGGGGCTTGCTTTAAAGCAGAGGATCTGATTGTGGGCACAACTGTTATGGGGCTGAGTGTGCAAAACCACAGTTGCCCAGGTCAAAGGTCCCCAGCTGTGACTGTATGAGTTGGGATTACCAATTAGTAGACTGCATTACCTTAACAGTACAGCTTAAATATGGCACACAGGCTCGGTGGGTAGAAAGATCAAGTTTTCATTAAAACAAACCCAAAAGGCTATTTAAAGATGTCCCAGAAAGACAAAGGTGGGGGAAACCCAGAGTTTATACTTCCTTGTGGAAAATAAAATTAGTGAATCTAAAAAACAGAAGACCATTTCAGCTTCACCAGATAGTTTGATACTAAACTACTGCCTAATGTGAATCTTTCTGTTGAGTCTACTTGTATAACTCGAAAGCAGAGAAAGAAACCTTTTTAGGAGCTTGTGGAGGACTTATCACGGTCTTGTTCAGAGTGGTCCTGCATTCGTCTTCCTCTTGTTCTTCCTCCATCAGCAGCAGTCTCCTTTCTGTCTCGAGGACAGCTTTCTGTTGTACCACTGGGTCATCAGAATTCATTTCTTGAATTAAATTGGCTAGAGAAGGAATTAGACGTGAATCCATCTTCAATGAGAAAGGCTCCATTCATTGGAAAGGAAGGTACAGAAAATTAATGGAGAAGATCTTAAGGAAGGAAAATAAGGCAATAGAAAGCAAACAGAGTAATTAGAACCAATGCAAAATAATTAAAAACAGGATTTGTTTTGCCTGGGGATAAAAAGCTGCAAAAGAATTTAACTCTGGGCTTCAAGGACTAGTTTTAAGCCATTTTTCAGTTGAAAAGTAATTTATGGACAGCTTATTAGGAGTTAGATATTATGCTGACTGCCGCAGTCAGCATAACAAATGATGAAGAAAAACAATTATTTTGTTGTTTTTTGAAAAGCTTAAGATCTTGTGTCAGGACAAATTAAAGAACAGGCAACTCTAAGATTCACAAAAGAACAGCCCTTAACTCACTCCCTTCCTCTCTTCAATGTACTGCCTACCCTGATTAGCACTCATGGGCCTTCACTTGGTGGACATCCTGTCCAGTACTGAACTCTTTTGCTTTCCCACCCCACCTAACAGATGAATCTGTTCACCTCACTCCAGTTCCACAATCCATTCCTCTCAGCCTTTACTAGGGATGTTGAATACTCACCAAGAAAGACAGATAGATGCCTGAGGAAATTGGTACCAACTCATCAGTATCCTCAGTGATGCCAAGCAAAATCTGTATTACCCTGAGTAAGGCATCCTATTATTCTTCCAAAGACTTGAGTTTTTGGCAATCTTAACCTAATCGTTTCAAATAGATGACCTCACTTATTCACTTGGAGAGGAAAGGGATGGCATGAGAAAGGAGCTCTTTCAGTTTCCTGCCATCAAAACCACAAATCTGCCTACATCAACCATCTATCCTTCCTTTCCACCATAAGGAAAATGCATCTCTCTTCTTGAATGAGATCAATCATCCATCCTATGCTCAGAATCCCGTCATCCTGCTTTGCATAGTCAGGAACCCTGTATCACCCATTATTTATCCCATTTGGGCAATATTTTCAACCTCTCCCACTGAACAGCTTCTTCCTAATGGCGTTCATAGACTTTAAATCTCTCCCAACACCCTGTCTCCTCCCCTTCACAACTAGACTTCTTAAAGCCATTTTCCTGTTCTCATTTTTTCATTCCCCATTGACCCTCCCAATGACCTGTTTTCAAAAACTTTAGTTATAAAATAGTTCAAACATAGTGCACGTAATATATCAGATTTTTTTTGTTCCCACACCATCTATAAGTTAATATGTATCCTTTCTCCAGCCTGCTTTAGTGTTTCATATTTGCATCATCCAGCTTTGCCTGTGTAACACATCTCCAACCTTTAGTGGTTTAAAACCACTACCATTTATTCAGTCTTATTCAACTCCCAATCCTCTGGGTCAGCAATTGAACTGGATATAGCTGGCTATTTTACCTTCTGGTTTCTGCTGATCTTTAATGTTTATCTATGGTCATCTATCAGTCATCTAAGTGCTTTGGAAGGTTGGCTGGCTGTTGGCTGGAGCAATGGGAGCAGTTACACAGAGTGTCTCACCTCCTGGCAGGGATTCCCCAGAGTGGCATGAAAGCAGGCTCCCATGCACTCACACTTTTTGAGCTTCTGCTATGCCATGTTTGCTAACATCCACTTGACTAGAGCAAGTCGTGTGTCCAATCCAAATTGAAGGGGAGGAGAAACGGGCTCCACTCTTGATGGGAAGCAAGGAATTTACGATCATTTGCCATCTACTAGAATATCTGTTATATGTAATTAAACATTTTCAATAAATGGTTTATAAAATGTACATTCTTTGGTAACCAATTTTTTTTTCTCTAACTAGGACAGCTATACTAATTTTTACTCCTACAAGTAGTGTATAAGAAAGAGTTCCCATTCCTCCACATTCTTGTCAACACTTGTTATTGTCAAACTTTTAAATGGCTGCCACCATAAGGGATGGAACTAGTATTTCATTAAAGTTAGTTTGCATTTTGCCGAATATGGCAGAGGTTGAGAAACTTCTCATTGGTTTGCAGGCCATGTGGATTTCCTCTTGTTCCTATCCTCAGTCAATTTTCTACTGGGTCATTTGTCCCTTTTGTATTAATTTATATGATTTCTACATATGTCTCTACTGGCTATTGTATTTGTAAACATCTCCTTGGGTATGGTCTGTCTTTTTATTTGTTTTTGTGAAATCTTTTATTGAAGAGATTGCCTTTTAAATTTAATATGTTAAATGTAACAATGTTTTCTTTTATGATTTATGCCTTTTGTGCCATTAAGGTTATAAATACACTTTCTTAATGGTGTCTTCTAAAAGTTTTAAAGGTTTTCTTCTCTTTAATGATCTACCTGTTGATTTCTGGTAGGGCAGGATTATTGCTGGTTCATGAGTCACTGCCTCCCACTAGTGGGTCTTGTCATCCCTGTTACATGTGTGAGTTCACTGAGGGCTCTTCATTCCTTTCCCCTGGATTGCTTGTCTTTGCAACACCTAACCTCCCCGCATTTTTTAACGTGTCCATCTTCACTCCTTTTAAGTCTACTCCTGCTTCAAGTGTCCAGCCTCCCACCTGTTGTTCATCTCAGGACTCATCCTTGAGTCTTTGTTTTCTCATAGCTCTCACAGTCATGAACACTAAAGCTGGTTGAGTTTAACTTCTAAATAGGCCTCAGACCTGTGTACTGTCTCCATCCCCACAGCCCTGACTGAGCCAAGCCCCCTCCTCTTCTCCCTGAAGTTCAGAACAGCCTGGTTTCACAGCACCCACCTTCTTCCCCCTCTAGTCCACATTCCACACCACAGGTGAGGGGAATTTTCTAAGGCACAAATGTTCCTGCTGTAAGGATTCCCTTCAAAGGACTCCCATTACTCTCAGTAAACACAGATTCTTTTTCATGGCTTCTACTGTCTCCCCAGACCTGGCCCCTCCTCACTCCTATGGGACCTTCTCTCCTTGCTCTCTTCTCTCCACTCAGATAGGGCTTTTTATGCCATCTGTTTTTAAAAACCACCACACTCCTTTAGCTCCCAGCTTTCCTGCCTCTCCCCAATGGCCAACTCCTACTCACTCTTCATATTTTGCTTAAATTTCATTTCTTCAGGGAAACTTTTATTTGACTTCTGTTATAGACTAAACTGTGTTCCCATCTCATTCTCCTAAAACTCTATGTTGAAGCTTAAATCCCAATGTGACTGTATTTGTGCTTTTGAGAGGATATTAAATGAGGTGACAAGGGTGGGGCCCTGATCCAATATGACTAATGTTCTTAAAAGAACATGTACAGAGAAATGAGCACGCAAACACACCCAGTTTGTGGTACTTTGTTACATCAACCCTAATAGACTAATAGAACTGCCTAAATTGGCTTAGAGTCTCTTGCACTTTGCAAGTTTCTCATTTGTTATGTATCACTTTGAAGTTATTTGTTTGGCATCTGCTGCCCCCATTGAACCACAGAGATCATGAAGGAAAGTAATCCTTTTATTGTATTCTACCATGTCTAGCAATACTCAAACACATAGCAAGAGTCCAAGAAATAAATGTACAGAATCTATATACATGTGGTCATATAAATTGAAATTAGTTAAGAATGACATAAATTAGAAATTCAGTTCCTCAGTCATCAAGTTACATTTCAAATGCTCACTATCCACATGTGGTTAGTAGTTACCACAGTGGGGCAGATTATACAGCACTCCTAATATTGCAGAAAACTCTATTGGACAATGCTGGTATAAATGATACCTGGTAATGATACCTAGACAGGTAAAGAAAAATGGAGAGGCAGAGGGAATGATGAAAACCAAGTATGAAGTATGTAACACTAGAGTCTGTGTAGAAATCTCTAAGCAGTTTGTTGCCGCTTGAGTGTGAGGTAGAGAGTTGAGAGAGGTAAAGAGAAGGTTATGTGAGGACTTGGATTCTGATGACAGCTTGGAATTTATTGTGACTACGAAGGAATCCAAGCCGAGAAGTGTCTGGCCAGATTTGCATTTTAGATACATTACTCTGTGGGAAGTACAAGCCCGGTAGCAGGAACAACAATTAGAGGTTGTTGAAAGTCTGTTGAGAGGAACCAGAACAATAGGAGGGTAAGAAAGGATGGAGCTGGGGAAAGAAACCAAACTTGAAAGTTGATTGGATGCAGGCTGGAGACATGGGAGGAATCCAGCTGAGTTGCAGATTTCCAGAGGGTGATGCCACCAACTAAGACCAGAAGGGGATGGTAGGACAGGCAGGTTTCATTTCAGGAGGAGAAGCAGAGCAGGGGAAAGACATGATGACTCAATTCTGGTCACATGAAGTTTGAAGTATGCGTTGAATACAAAATGGATATGGCAGGTGGCCATAGAGACCGAGCCTCAGGAAAAAAAAAAAAGGCTGGGTGCTATTTAGATGGGGGAGTCACCAGTAAAGGTAGTCATTAAAAGCAAGTGAACATACAGGGGAGCAGTGGGCCAAAGCCAGAACTCACACAACAGCATTCAAGGATGAGCAGAAAGGCCAGTGAAGAACACAAAGAACACACAAGTAGGTTCCATATGAAGTTAGCCAAACTATTTTTAAATCCATACCATCTGCTGGAAGAAGCAGCATTTTAAGTATATTTCTACTTGCTGGGTAAGGTTTGTTTGCTTATTTGTCTGTTTCTAGGCTCAAACAAGCTCCCTAATGTCTGAACAGGGACAGACTGGTTTGGAATCTCTTGAACATGATGTGTGAGTGGAGTCTACATTGTCTGAGGGCCTGTCTGTTGAGCTGGGGCAGGGTCTTCTTGTCTTCCTACCGAGGGGGACAGAGGATGCTGGTCATAAACCAACCACATAATTTGATGGATCCTGAGGGAAAATCATTTGATTTTGCCTTTGCAGCTCAAAAACAGAAAATGATTCTTCCCTCCCCAGAGGGATCCCAGAGTGATCAAGTGGGTTCTTGGGTGATCAGCGTGAAGGGGAACAGTGAGGCTCATTGGCAATGGGGAAACAGCAGCTCCTGTTGACTGGAAAGGGAACAAAATATGGAGGAGAGCTGTCAGCCTGAATTCTAATCAGAATGTTAACAGCTTCTATGATACCAATTAACAGCCAGAAAATACTTCCCCAAGGCTATAACTTATTTCTCCAAATGCCTTCTGTTTCATTTCAATTATATTTTTTTCCCTTAAAAATCATAAACCTGTCAGGCAACCCAGGAACTAACTTAAGAGTAATCATATCTCTTTAGCCACTCCACTTCTTCAAAGCAGAGTTTAATTTGTTTATTATTTACTGGTACTTACTGATTTCATCCACATTTTTAAGAAATTTCTCCAAATCTTTCTCTTGATCATTAGACATTGTGGACCAGGATCCCTAAAGGAAGCAGCATAAATTATTAAATTAATAATACATTACTAAACAGAACTGTCAGGTTTATTAGCCTTTTAAGACAAAGAGCCAAATGATTATTTTAAAGACAGATTTGTGTTTAAATGTTATGAAAAACAGCGGCATTTCACTCCAACTGCTGTTTAAGGCCAAGGGACATTCATTATTTGTGGCAGTACTTCCAGAAAGCTGCCAGCCCTCCCTCCACTGGGGAAACTGTTCTGCAAATAATTCCTCCAAAGCCATCATCAACCACTGTGATTCAGGGACCTGGCCTTAAGGAAATCAGAAGGTGAGCAGCTGACAGGTCACCAGAGAAAGAGAAAGACATTAATGCCTGACTTGGATCATGACAAGCCGGCCTAGTCAGAAACTTGGACCTGGCAGTGTATCCGGTAACCACAGATAGGACAATGGTCATCTAAATGTCCATATATGTTTAAAATATCTGGCTTGCTTCTGAGGAGTGAAGAGAAGGTACAAATTGGCTGAAGAGATTAGAACGTGAGGCCAAGGTGTTTTACAAATCCTCACCAAGGCATTTGGGATTAAATAGCTCACAGTCGTTTTTGAGTGAGACTGCTACAGAGTAGTCAGCAGTATCAAAATTTCATCCACACACCATAAAGATCACTCAGAAGCTTGTCAAACAGAGTCCTGGACCTGGGCCCCAGAGATTCTCAGTCCTTAAATTTGGGAGAGGACCCAGGAATGCACATTTTAAACATTCTGCTGGCGGTTCTGATTCACAGGCAGGCTTAGTAGTGTAGTAACACTCCTAGTGTCCTGGTCCCCACCCATTATTACAAGCTGTATGACCTTGGCTGAAGTCGCCACTCTTTTGAGCCTGAGTCCTCTCATCCGTGTTATGGAAACGGTAATATAAACCTAGAGGACGTCTTGGGATTACTGTAGCTCCAGACTCGCTATGGGTGGTAAGCGTGAAGCGCCCTAATGTGTGAAACGCGGTTAGTGTGTGTGGCTTGGCTGAATGACCGCTAGGCTAGGGTTCTTTCGGCTCAAACACGTAATCCCTAGGGACCGAGGCCGCGTGATGAATTAAATTGTCCACGTCCACAAGGGTCAGAAAGATGGCTGGGTAGTTCACGGACAGGGCCGGCCACTCTGCTCCCAGCTCATGGTTTGTAGGGAGCACAGTCTGGCCAGTGCCACCCAGCGGAGGCCGCGGGGGCGCAGCGCAGGAGGAGCGCACATGTGCTGCGCGCTCAGGCTTCTCCCAGCGCGGGCCCCGCCCCGCGCCCCGCCCCGCGCCCCGCCCCGCGCCCCACGGCGCGCCCCACGGCGCGCCCCGCCCCCGCGCTCCGCCCCGCCCCACAGCGCGCCCCGCCCCCCGCCCCGACCTCCCGCCGGCCTGAGAGGGGCGGGGCCTGCCGCACGGTTGCTCGGCAACGGCTCTCCAGCGTCCACCGGCCCTGTGCCCCACACTGAGAACCCAGCCGGCAACCGATGCCGTCCCATCCGCGGGGGACTAAGCCAGGAGTCTCTGCTGGGCTTTGGGGACCAGTCCAGGAGAGGTCCCAGGAGAGAATTTAGAGCCACCCCGCTGCACTGACCTGGCGCGACCCGGCTGGACAGGAAATGACGGATGCGGGCTGACTGTGACTGGCCTTGGCTGGGGAGAGGCGGGGACAGGGGACAGGGGCGGGGCGTGGACCTGCGCTCTAGTTCGCGAGCGCACCGCGAAGTTCAAGGCCAAGTTGGGGTCTAGGAAGTCCAAGGGGAGAGCGAGAAGGTGGGAGAAGAAAAGCGCCTATCTTTAAATCAGCACCAAGTTCTCCCCTGTTTTTCTTTTAAGGAGAGGGTTTCTGACTCCCATTGGTTTATTATCGTCGACCCATTATATCAGAGTTGCCGGTGTACTTGCAAGAGACATTCTTGGTGTGAAACTGTTTTGTTTCAGATGTATAACTTCTTTGTTCCCGTCCTCTCATTTGTAAAAAGGAGAAATAGCACTTTCTCATAAGGTTTATGGCTAAAGTGCCTGGAGCCTAGTCTGTAGGAATAAGTGACAGTGAATATCCACAGTAGGATTTAGGGCAGCATGAAATAAAGGACACATTCGTGCATTCACACTGTGAATACATGCACACGCCCTAAAAGAGATTACCTTCCCTCCTTGTCTCCCTCCCTCCCTCCCTCCGTCTCCTCCCTGCCTTCCATTTTTAGACAGATTCTCACTATGTAGTCCAGGCTGTCCTCAAACTTGTCATCCTCCTGCCTCAACCTCCCGAGTGCTGGGATTGCAGGCATGAGCTACCACACCAGCCTTCCAGTCTTATTTTATAAACAAAAGTTCAGCCTATGATGTGCTAGGTTAGTACAGGAAAAAAGCAGGCTTGGGGGAAATTTAAATTAAACTGATCCTTAGAATTATCTGGAACTTCTGGCAAATTCATGGGTACTTTATGGAAACTTTTTGATAGGGACTGAGGAGTCCTCAAGGTGGAATTTACCAAGAGGACAGAGGAGTCCCCAGGCATGCCCAGCTAGTTTCAACATTGAGTCTAAGACTCTGATTTGTGGCCTGGATTCCTCCCATAGGCTGCTCAGCTGAGCTCCAGCAGCAGAAGAGCTATTTGAAGTCTCCACAGGCATGGTACACATGCAGCCCAGCCTGTGTGACTCCCAGTGGAGTCCAGTACAGAGGAGCCAGGGATGTTTTCCTTCTCTTTACACACAATAGGCACACCTGCAGTAGAGCAAGGCCTACTGCTGGGACCTGGGGTGGCAGTAGTACACAGTCACAACCGCTGTCCAAGGGGACTGAGGTGCCTCATGACAAGTAGCAGAGAGTGGCAGAACCTGGCAGGAGCAAGAGTACTGGTGCACACGGGTCAGAGAAACTGGAAGTCCCAGAAAGGCACAGAGCACTGAACATTGATTTTAGAGCCCATAAGAATTGATGGAGAAAAGAGCCGGTGACATTTTGGTTATTAGTATCGTTGCATTTCCTCTCAGGCTTGTGAGGTATAGAATACGCAAAGGTATACTCCCCAGCTTTAGTGCTTCTCGCCACTTGGGGACTGATAGCTTCAAATCAGTTTTGTCCTCTACTCTTTTTATCAAACTCCTTTACCTGGATTCTAGAGGAACTTGCCCACAACTGACTATACCACACAACCATACATTCATGCAATCAGTCATCAAATGTGGATGTTTACAGGATTGCCAGATGCAGTGGAGGACCTGTAGGGTGCACTTGACAAATATTTATTACACATGGAGTGGTTAAGAGCAGGGTCTCTGGAATCAGTCTTCCTGGGTTCAAATCTCAGCCTTCTACTTATTAGCATTTATTAAAAGGTCACCAAGTACCTGCCGTGTCCCTTTTACTGTGCCAGGTACTGGAGATCCTTTTTGCATGTCTCTTACTACTAACACTAGTTCTGGTACTACTAGGTGTGTGATCTCGAGCCAGTTACTTAATCTCTTTGTGCCTTGCTTTCCTCATCTGTAAAATAGCGTCGTTAAATGATATATACTCCATAGGATTTCTGAGCGGTACGGGAGTTAATGCAGATAATGTACTTTTAGAATAATACCTGGATCATTAGCACTACTCAGTAAGTGTACAAAACTATTATTATCACTAATCTGAGTAGTACGCATTGGAGCAGTGCCTCTGAGTCTTGATTTTACATAGGAATTGCCTGAGAATCTTGTTAAAATGCAGTCTTGGTCAACAGGCATGGGGATAGGGCTCCACAGAGATACCCCTCTCTGGACTGTGGGCCGCACTGAGTAGCAGAGTGCAGACACTTTATTCAGTGCTGGGAATGTAGTGAGGTACGGAGTCACCAGACTCAAGGAATTTATTATCCAAGGGGATAAAGGTCAACAAACATACTTTTAAACTCTCATCGTGACAAAGTGTTGTAAGAAGTAAAGCGAAAGTAGCAAAGGATGCTGGGAAAGTCTAGACCTTGGGAGTCTTTCCTGATGACCTGAAGTGTGAATGGCCATTGGCCAGTCAAAGAGGGAGGTAGAAGCAGAGAGAACAGTATGGGCAGTCAGAGGGAGCCTGGTATGGACAAGGAACCCACAGAGGCCAAGCTTGGCTGTGGCACAGAGAGCAAGAGGCAGGTGATGCAAGATGAAACAGGGGCCTCATCACATAAGTGCTTTTGAAAGACACGTGAAAGTTTGGGATCTTCATCCTGAGTCCCAGACATAGCCTTTGTGGTTTTAGCAGAAGAGTGACAAGCTCAGGTTGTTTATTCTTAGAAAATCATTTGGCCGCAAGATGGAGACCAATATGAAAGAAGGCAAGAAGGACACTGGGGGACAAGTTGGAGGATGCTGGCAATAGGAATAGAGATGAACTCCAGATGCATTTTGGAGGGAGAATTCACACCAGAGAAGTATCAACAATGTCAGTGGATTTTGGCTTGAGCCAGATTTTGGTTTTCCATTGGCTGAGATAGAGAACACTGTAGGATAACCAGGTTTGGAGAAAAGATGAGTTCCAATTTGTCATACTCAGATCAAAATGCCTGTGTGGTATCCAAGTATAGATGTTGAGTAAGTTGTCAATTGTTCCTTAATACTTATTCTCTTCTTCAATTCCTCCAATTTTTAGCAATGCTCGAGACAGATAGAATAGACTACTTCCTAGCTTTACTTATACGTGACTAAATTATGGCTGATTAGATGCAAGGACAAGGGCTGGGACGTGGCACAAGTGGTAGAGCACCTGCCTGGATACAAGGACAAGTGTTGGTGCTGCTTCTGGGACGTTCCTTGAAGAAGATTCTTTTTCTTGTGTTTCCTCTTTGCTTGCTGGTTGGGATGCGAACACAATGGCAAGAGCTAGACCCGCCATTTTGGTGCATGAAGTAGAAGCATTGAGTTGAGAATGGAAAGCCACACGCTGTGATGAGCATTCTGAAGATATGGGGTTGTCTTCTTGGTTTTGGACGCTCAACCCTGTATTTCTGCATCTGAGAGACATTTGACCTCA